ATAATGTATAAATTATGCTTATATAAATGACATTCAGCCGAATGCCATGTATTATATGTCGACAGTCATCGCCAATTAGACGTAAACGAATTTAATTACAAGGAAAAGCGGTCGCAACAAAGTGGCAATTAATTGTTGATGAAATTAAACAACTCACCAAACTGATTGCTGTCAGGAATTGGGAAATGATACTTCTTAACCATGCATGTGGACAAACGCATATAGCCTACCGGTCTTGTCCTTTTGTGCATGATTTCACAAGATACTGAACATTTTGCGAAAGATGCTAATACAATATTTTATTTTCAGAAATAGGGTTTTTGCCCACCTAATATGAGGTCATGTATTGGTCGACTATAATCTCACCTTCACTGGCCTTTTCTTTCTTCTCTTCGTTATTTACAATTACTGAAAATTAAGCGTCTCAATCTCAAGTGCATACATATGTTGAAAGTGAAAGAACATGAAGAATGTTCCAGAACTGTTAGAAAGTTTCTTAAATCATCTACAGTGCACAGTCCAGTCTGAAAATTATTATGATTATTAATTTTTTAGAAATTTATTGTTTTCACATTCACTGAACACCAAAATATTAGCATAGCGGGACAAATAGTCAGGCTGGCTATGCTACTGATAGTGCATGCACCATGGGTGTGTACCAGACTTCTTCTTTACTTTGATCGTTAAAATTTATCGCTCTTGCCGTGATTCCTACTACGGCAACAAACGACATTCATTTAACACAATAAGCAAATTTAATCAGAACCAATGAAAATTTCTCCTGACCTATTCACACTGCATCATTGCCAGGGCCGTAGCTAGACCGCTTAATTGGGGGGGTGTATATTCATATATTCATGTTTATATACCATAGGAACAATAGCATACAAAAGAAATCATTCGGGCATAAGACGAATATATGAATATGCACCCCCCCAATTAAGCTTCTAGCTACGGCCCTGATCATTGTATGCATGTAAGTTTCTCCATGCATAAATTGTCGGACCGAGTGAGTCATCTATAGTCTTGAGAGTTTACTATGTAGGACCTAAGTTCAATTTCGCAAGCAGTAGCGTTGTTTATTGAGGTATAGTTGATTGGCGGTCAACATAAAAGGAAAATATTTCGTGATCGTATAACGACGTAACCCTATATCTGGGATGGCAATAATGACAGCCCGACGATCCTTTACCAAAATGAAACTATTTAACTGGAGACACTGTTATATACAATTAAATTTTATAAAATTATTAAAAAATTCTTCGTATGAAATAAAAGAGTGCTCTATACTGCAAGCTAGTAGAGCGATATTTATTTATTCATTTACATTATTCTTAAAAAATTGGGATCGCTACTCTGAGTTTCGTGCCAATCATCAGGTAACGAACTGAAATTGAAATTTGGTCGCCTGATGATTGAAACTCAAAGTAGCGATGCCGAATATTTAAGAATAATATAAATATATATATATATATATATATATATATATATATATATATATATATATATATATATATATTTCTGTGGTGTTCAGATAATCGTACGAACAGTCACTATAAAAAGAATTCAGTTGGACAAAAGACGAATTAATCAACAACCCCCACCCCTCCCCTTTCCAACAAGCCTCTTGCGATGATCCCGTGCATGTAAGGTCTTACTGTCATATGGTGCGAAATTTTGGATTTATAGCATTTCAGCCTGCCTTATCTTTTATATATAAATAGATTAATACATCGATTTCAAAAGTCTTTTAATATTATCCTCATGCACCATGCACTGAGTCGTATACGTATACTTATACTTATCGTATACGTGTACTTATTAATACTGAAAACTGTGCGGAATTCATTTATATTAGATATACCATTATAAATATAGGATATTCATGCAGATATACGAAAATATAAAAAAACAGTTGTGATATTTATGAACAACATCGTGATATTATTAACTTAACGATTGCCAAAATGCAGTTTCTTTCCGTCTACATTCCACGAATAACAAGCATTCCAATGGGCATAGAACTATAGGATATAATAAAAAATGGGAAACCTTACTGTTGTGTCTATTTTATGCAAAGTGAATTATACAACTTCAAATTTTAAATGTCGAATAAAACCTTGCGTTTCACGACCTTCCTTTGAAGTTGAAATGAATGCGTCTCTGGCTATATGTATATATAAATATATATATACAAGTAGTCGTTGTCAAAAAGTTCTCCATTTCGACTTATATATATATATATATATATATATATATATTATTATATATATATATATATATATTATATATAATATATATATATATATCCCCTATATAACCAGGGAGCAGCGTTCAAACAACTTAGCATCAAATGTTGTATAACACTGACTGCCTAAAATAGACAAATTGAAAACGCTTCTCGACGTTTCGACCTGAGGGCCTTCGTGAGGAGAGTTAATATGAGAGTTTGTCATAATGGAATCTATGGACGCCAGAGCAGTCAAATATGGACGCCAGAGCAGTCAAATGTACTATCGTTAAGTAATATACAAGAATATTATGATAGGTTGCTTTTGAAAAGTAAAAATATTGAAATCGTGTCCTGTCTGTGTGGGCCTTTAGACATGGTGATGAAAACCAGCTTTGTTAATCGAGCTATTACCCGTTTCTTTTTTTTATTATACCTGTAAGATCTGAATCTCTGCATTTTTTTAATCATAGTCCTTCACATTCCTCGATGCTTGACCGTAGACTTATGCTTCTGTGACTCAGACTTCTGTCCCCTTGGGTCACGTCTCTATCCTCGCCAATCTATTGAAGAAGGGAGTGATCGTCACTACAATGGTATCGGGCCATCCCTAAAAATGAGAAACATTTTTAAATGTTAATTAAAATTAACTAGTATCGCATCGCGATCTTGTGGTAGAGTAGTGGTAATGGCGATGGCTTTCCAGTTGTAGTCATGAGGTTTAAATCTGAGGGGGCCTGTTCTTTCCCCGCCTTCCCGAACATTAAAAGTGTTTCTGAACATTCAAAAGTGTAAAATACCTACCAGACCCTAATTTTCCTTAACCGTGACGAGAAACCGTTTCTTCAACAGTTCTTTAATCCTCGATCTTGTACTTGATACTCCATGACTTTTTCACAAGGCTAACTGGTGATTGTTGAAAACCTACTGTCGAGAATGTCGCCTCCGAACTGTAGTCCTCGACAAGTCACAAAATTAAAAACCCTTTAATAAACTATAAACCTTTACAACAATAATACTTGTGCTCGATGCACCACTACCTCGTAGCGTGTCACTAGTCATACTAACTCTCATGTTACCAAAGTGTCACGTGACATCCCTAATGCTAATAACTATGTAATCTAATCTACGTAATGTATATTGTATAATAACTGTATTCTTATCTGTCAGTTCTCAACACACTCCCCCATATAGCTCGTTGAAGAGGTATATGTCCACTTGAGACTGACTTCGTTGTTGTCCTCTTGTGATGTCTAAACAAAACTAAACATTAATTCCATATAGTAAAATTGTTAATTTAGAAGGAAAGGTTTCTCTTAGAAGATTTTGTCTTCCTCTGCTTGTTGCTCGATTCGTAAGCTTGCCGCAGCAGCGGAATCTCTTTTCGCTCGTGGAACAAAGGCGGGGGCCTGGGGGTCAGGTTTCTGGAAGTGGTGATCGTCGCAGGTTAACTCAAGAGGGTATAGTTGTTGGATTGCTCTTTCCAATACTCCGTTCACTGTTTTGACTTTAGCTCCCCGTACGACGCCGTCTTTTCCCTTAATCATATCTAAAACGATCCCGAGTTTCCACGTTTTCCGGTTCCTGTTATCATCCTGAATGATCACGGCTGACCCCTTTCTAGGCACTGACGCTTGTCGACCTCCCTGGTTCACGTGACGTTCACGAAGGCTTCGCACGTACTCACGAGTCCACCGTTTCCACAAGGCTTGTTTGCATTTCTCGAGAATCTTCGCTCTTTTTCGAAGTTCTTTATCCTCCAAGTTATAGGCTTCCAGGACAGGCACTTGACCAGGATTGATGTTTAACATCGAATTTGGCGTAAGTACCGGCAACTGGACGTCATCTTCCAAGTAGCATAACGGGCGATCATTAAGTGTAACCTCCACGTCTAGCACGACATCTTGTAACTCTTCCAACGTAAGCATTCCGTTGCCAATGGACTTATAAAACACTCTCTTGAAAAGACCAATAAGGCGCTCATACTGGCCTCCCCACCACGGTGCGAGACTCAGATTGAATCTCCATTGTATTGAACGTTCCGAGAGGAGACTGTTCAACTGCTCGTCGTTCTGGACTTTCTTCAGCCACTTCGATGCTGCTTTAAAGGTAGAACCATTATCCGAATATATGATCTTGGGTCGTCCTCGTCTTGCAATGAAGCGTTTTAAACTCGCTATGAACTCCGTAAGTTCCAATGATTTAAGAACTTCGAGATGTACGGCTCTTGTGAGGCTACAACCGTAAAGAACCAGATAAGATTTCCCGAACTTCTTCCCTTTTGGTTTGTACCGTATAGGTCCCGCAAAGTCCGCCGAGCACTTCAAACGGTGTGGTTCCCTCGGTGCGAGTTGATGGCAGTTTTCCGGGGGGTGGTTTCTCGTAGGATTGGACTCGGAATCTCTTGCATCCCCAGCAGTTGGTTCGAACGCGCTTAACTAACCGTCGTAATTTCGGGATCCAATAATGTTCCCTGATTCTCGCCATAGTCATTCCTACTCCGCCATGTAAGGTCGAATGGTGAGCCCGCTCTACTAACTTAAGAGCGACTAGGTGACTGTGGGGTATGTAGATGGGATACTCTCCTTCGATTCGTCCCCGACATTCTAAGATTCCATCCTCGTTTAACTGAAGATTCAGATTCACCTCGTCTTTCCCAATTTCGTTGCTGTTCGTGGCGTCACGCTGTGCTCTTTTGATCCACCACGAGAGTTGTGTCTCGATCTCTACGGTCTTTATGGGGCCATATTGTCGTTCATTAACCGCACGTTTAACAATTTTCGACGAACCTTCGAACCCATGCTCCGATCCTTAAAACCTTGCGAAGTACACGCTTCTCAAGTAGCTCGTCTAGTTGATCAGAAGCTCTCGGTGCTGCTGTTGTCGTGGTGAAGACAGTTTTCAAGCACTTCCTTTCAGCTCTGCTTTCTTGACTGGGTTCCAGGACAATATTTGGGGGCCACTTGCTCGGATCACTCAGCCAGTCAGGACCTTGTCGCCATAACTCGCTGTCTACACACTTGTTTCCTCGACTCCCCAAGTCAGCTGGGTTTCCTTCGGAGGGGACATGGTGCCATTGTACATGTGCTTGCTCCTTTATCTTCGCTACACGATTAGAGACGAACTGTCGATACTCCCCTTGGCCGTTGATCCAGTAAAGAGTAACAGTGGAATCACTCCAACAATGGACTGCCACGACCTTTACGACGGTATCAATAGCACGCTCTACATTCACTACCAGATTCTTTGCCATATGAGCAGCTACGAGCTCGAGTCGAGGTATGGTAAGGCTTTTCTTGGCAAGGCGCGACTTTGAGCAAACCAGACCTTGAGTCGTACCGTTCCTTTGTTCTACGACCGCATACACCGCCGTTGCTACGCCGAGTTTGCTGGCATCACCAAACGCGTGGAGGGTGACTGCTGTTACGTGTTGAAAAAACGGTGCTAAACTCCGTGGTACTGTAAACGTCATCGATACTACGAGCTGCCATTCTTCCCATCGTTTCTTGATTTCCTCAGTTAGCACCCCGTCCCATGGAAGTTTGGCTTCGCACATTTCCCTGTAAAGTTGTTTCGCGACTAAGGTCGTTGGGGAAACCAAGCCTAAAGGATCAAAAACTTTCGCTAGCTCCGACAACGCCTCTCGCTTGGTTGTTACTGGCTTCCGTGTTGTCTCAACGCTGAGTGTGTCCTTCGTTTTGTCCCATGGCAACCCGAACAACTTCGTTTCTCGCTTGTTCGTATCGAGTTGAGCTGTTCCAAGGGAAGGTACCTCGTTGTTGTCAGACATGTTTTCTTCAAGACTCGCAACATTCGAATGCCATTTGTGTAGTTTGAATGATCCATCTTTGAACACTTCGACGACTTTTTCCTGTTTCGTTGTCACGGTTTCTACTGATTCTCCCCCCGTCATCAGGTCGTCGACGTACAGCCCGTCTCGGACTTCTTTAACCAGGTTTGGATATTTGATCTCCCATCGTTTTAGATGTTCGTTGATAACTCCACCGAGGAGAAATGGTGAACACGTCATTCCGAACAAAGCTCGAGTGAACCGATATACAGTCGTCTCTTTGCTTCCAGGACTTCTCCAGAAAAACCGTAAGGAATCTCTTTCTTGCTCTTTAATGCGAATTTGTAGAAACGCTTTCTCGATGTCGCTGGTCGAGAGGATGGGATAAAAACGTGCTCGGACGAGAATATTCCACAGTTGGTTTTGGAGTGGTGGGCCGGGGTAAAGACAGTCGTTCAATGACGGTTGATCACTCGATTCCTTCGCCGAGGCGTCGAAAACTATACGTAGTTTGTGGTTTCCGCCGACTGTTTAACAACGCCTTTATGCGGTAGATAGTGTTCTTTGCCACTCGCTTCGACTGGAGCTGGTTCTATGATGCCTTGGTCAAGTTGTTCTCGGATATCGTCATATCGTTCGTAGTTGCCTTCACGAGTTAGTTTCTTTATCACAGTTGTTAATCGCCGTTTACTGCCCGCTTCATTCGTAGGTAGACTGGGATGGTTGGCTTTCCATGGCAGGTTGGTCTCGTACCAACCTTCGGGGTCTCTCGTCAGCTGCTCTTTGAAGTCCTCGTATACTACGCTCTGGTCGTTTTCCGTCGTGTCAGCCAACCCGAGAACATCTAACCTGCATAAACGCTCGAAATCTGAGTGCGCTGTTTGAGTTAAGAGCATCGTATTACGGTCAAACTCAACCCCAGGACTCATGATGAACCAGCCAAACTTTGTCTTTTCTGCCACTGGTTCGTAGTCGCCGCCAATAAGAGGTTTTGTGCTTGTTTTAATTCTCGCGTATTCCCCGTTTCCTAACACTAGGTGAATGGGCAGGTTTCCTTTCGTATCAAGGTCATCGACAATAACGTCTCGAAGGTGGTCGTATTTGCGTTTCAGTTCCTGGTATCCAGGGTTAGTTACATTGAGTAGTTCTGGTTTTTCCACTTTAGCTAATTTGACATTCATTTTGTAGCTTCCATCAAGAGCGCTAATTTCCGTATCGTAATATTCCAGACGTGTCGTCTTTGATCCCATTAGCATGTCAATGCGTTGTAATTTCGTCTCGCTCGGTTTTTCGTCAATCATCGTTACAAGTTTTGCAGACGCATACGACCCCCCGGCGCCAGAGTCAATTAGTGCGCGACACATGACACCGTTTACTTTTACTACGACTACAGGGAATATTCCTTCACCAGTTGCACCGTCTGTCATCAATTTCTCCTTGTTTCCGGACGATTGGCGCGGTTGTTGGCAGATTGACGAGTGATGACGTTGTTTACAGTGCTGACATGACGTTTTGCTAGAACATTCCGCTGCGCGATGTTTTCTTGTAGCACAATTAAAACACAGACCCTTTTTAGTTAAAATTTTCTTTCGCTCGCTCGTGTCCGTTATTTTATCACACTGCGTCGCCTTATGACCCACGTCCTCGCAATAAACACAGCCTCTTACCCTCGCTTCGTCCTCGCGCGCGTGAAAAACACTCTTGCGTTCCTCGCGCGGTTCTTTCTCGCTTGAAACGGCTGGGTTTCGTTTAACCCATTGACGCACAGCTTCGTTTAGCTCAGCAAATCCCCAGGACTCCCAATCGGAATCGGTACGGACCAAATCCCCCCTAATTGCAGCTAATTTTCCCAGTGTCATTGCGACATTTCCTCTCACTTGCTCAAGCTTTTTCATAGTGTCAAGCGCTTGGACGCAATAGGACAGTTTCTCGCTGAACTCTGCTATTTTACGTGGATTTGCGTTGTGTATACACGGCAACTCTAATATTTCCCTCACGTAGCTATTCACAATCTCCGATTCCTTCCCAAACTTATCAAGGAGAATCGACTTGGCACGATTATACCCTTCTGACGTGAATGGCAAGGTTTCTACACAACGCTTAGCTTTATGACCGAGTAGCTCTCGTAAATACGTAAACTTGGTAATAGGGGCAATCAAACTTTTGTCGATAGCTTCGCTGAATTGTCCCCAGAATCTAGGCCAATCCATAAACGAACCATCAAACTTGGATATCACTAATTTCGGTAATTTTGCAGTCTTAAAGTCAGAACATTCCTGTATTTCCGGTTTGGTTTGAGACAGTTCGAGTTCGGCTTTCATCTTTAGTCGTTTTTCATGCAATTTTAATTCTGCTTTAAACTGCTCCTCTCGCTCTACGTGTTTTTCAGACTGTTCCTTATCGAAAAGCCATTGTTCCAAACGTTTTATTTCCGCATCACCCTGCTCAATTTTAACTTCGATCTGGAGATTCCAATCGTTAATATCTTCAATATTTCCGTCAGCCTCAATTTTTTCTGCTTCGACAGCACGTTTATGTTCGTTCGTTTCACGAACGGTTTCACGTAGGGCAATGAGGTGCCGCTTAATACTTTCAGGCTTACCTGAGTCTAGGATATTTCCAGTTCGTTCCACGCCAAGCTTCAACTGCTTCAACTTGGTCTCTAACTTTTTCTCCATATCTTCGCCGGACAACCGTGTGTCGTTGAAATCTGTTCACTTGTATTCGAATATAGCTGGCGTTTCAGCTATCCCGTCGGAGGTGCCACGTGTCGAGAATGTCGCCTCCGAACTGTAGTCCTCGACAAGTCACAAAATTAAAAACCCTTTAATAAACTATAAACCTTTACAACAATAATACTTGTGCTCGATGCACCACTACCTCGTAGCGTGTCACTAGTCATACTAACTCTCATGTTACCAAAGTGTCACGTGACATCCCTAATGCTAATAACTATGTAATCTAATCTACGTAATGTATATTGTATAATAACTGTATTCTTATCTGTCAGTTCTCAACACTACAGCAATTTATTCAACCTAATCTTACCATGTATTTTTAATAAAGAAAGGGTTGATGTAAAACGTCTGGAACGGCATTCGAACCAACTACTATCCTCAGGCCGAAGGTGATGATGAAAAATATTTTCTCCTGGATTCGAACCGTCGCCTGCCGACACACGAGAATAACATTCTCATCTCTAGACCAGAAGATCTTGTGCTGATCGGCTCAGCTTAATTAATTTTCTTTATTCTTTTTTTCGAAGGTCATAATGAAAAACGGTTATGCTTGCATTTGAACCATCGGCCTAACACTTGGGAAACCATTGCATGGTTTCACCACTAGACCACGAGCCTCTGCTGACCAGCTATGGTTATTTAATTTAGCTTATAATGAAAGATAGTTATGTTTGTGATTCGAACCATCGACCTACCACTGGGAGATCGTTGGCTTCACCCATAGACCACAATATGTTGTGCAGAACTAAGGATATTTTTTCCAGGATTCGAACCATCGACTTCCGGCATGTAGACCAGTGTCTTCACCAGAAGACCACGAGAACTTGTGAAGATCGGCTATGGTTATTTAGTTTACTTTATCCTTTTCGCAAAAGTCATAATGAAAAACAGTTATGCTTGGATTTGGACAATAGATCTGCCACTTAAGAAACCATTGTCTTCACCACTAGGCCACAAGATCTTGTGCTTACCGGGAATGAGCAATCTTTATTTAATTAACTTTTTCCATTCTTGAAAGTTGCTTGAAACTTATTTCTTTTACTTCATTCTTTTCTTAGATGTCATGTTGAAAAACATTTTTCGCTTGATTCGAACCACTGACTTACCACGATTCCAATTACCATCGAATTATCTTCACCATGCATCAGACCATAGATAAATGATTATTTTCTTTAAGTTCATAATTAGAAACAATCCCTTGGGATTGAAACTTATTACTTGCGAGACCTTTGTCTTTACCACTTGGCCCTCGGCTTTTGAGCCCGCAGGCTATCTCTTTCATTTTATTTTATTTAAAACTTTTCTCTAAGTAAGTTCACGATGACAAAAGTTTTCTCAGGATTAGAACCACCCACTTACCATGGCCGAGACCATTGTCTTCATTGTCTCCACCACTAGACCGCCAGGCTTGCAGGGTTTTTTTTTATATCTAATCCTCTAAGGTGATATGAAAATTTCTTTAATGATTATAACCACCGACCTAATTTTTACGACACCACATAGTTTATCCAAGGATTCGAACCATTTTTTTCATCACAGGACGACCAGTTTTGAGCTTTCAGACCAGTGGCGTACGGGAAACGACTCATATATTCTGGTTGACAGACCTGTAAAGACAGCGGATTTGAAAAGAAATTAATCTTGCACAACATGAATACATGAATATGTCTAAGCACCCTGTGGGGACCCACAAGTGTGTAAATTAATAAATGCTTGACATAAGCATTTTTATGCATAATGAATGACAGTAAAATTTGTTTGTATACCCATGCACAAATGACATTTATTTTATTACCAATGACCTTTTTCTCTAGCCAATTTTAAAATTTTGTAGGCCTATTTAGCATTTTATAAGTTGCGCTGATCCCCACGAGCAAAAATTCGCGAACAAGTCATTTCAATTTTAACAATAGATGATTTCAATAGTTTTGGGGATTTTTAGGGACACCCTGTATATGCTAGTTAAAACACTACACCATTCAACATTGAACATTGAACATTGTTAATTGAGGGGGGGCAAGGGGGGGTCTTGTCACGAAATCACAAAGGTGTTTTTAAGATTTCACGAATCACGAAGAAGATAATTTCATTTTCACCACTTTGCAGCGGAAAGACTGGGAAATTAGGCGGAAAGCTACTGTTTTGATTATTTAACCTTTAGTTTAGTTGGGGACAAGTATTTAATCTAAAAAATTATAAATATTGGTAAAATATTGGAGGAAATAAGATGTCTTTGCCAGCGTTTTAGGTCTTCACGAGTCACGGAACGCATTTTAATCACGATTCACGGAATGGCATTTTCTTAAATCACGCATCACAATACAGAAATAATGCTAATCACAGATCACGAAAATACCCTTGCCCCCCCTCTTAATTCAAATTCATTGAGTCAAGAAACAAAACGTTTTGCTCTAATTGAGTCACTCCGCGTATTCGATATTCAATCTAGGCGAAAGTTTCTTGAAAAACAGCATCTCATTAACAAGGCAATCAAACTTGCCCTTAAACTTTCATAGCACACGATATTGGTCTACATTTTACAAAGTCTTATCACCATGACTGTCAGCCAGATGTTAAGCAATTCTAAAATATAATGCAATTCCATGTTTAGCAATTCCAGAATGGTAATCTGCATTTGCTAAACATCTGGCCGACAGTTATGGTGTTAAGACTTTGTAAAATGTAGACCAATTTCGTGTGGTACGAAAGTAAAAGGGCAAGTTTGATTGTCTTGTTAATGAGATGCTGTTCATCAAGGAACTTACGACTAGATTGAATACACAGATTGACTCGATAGACGTTTTGTGGATTATAGACTACTTTTTATCTATACAAGATAATCCAATCAAATATTTCACAACAGCTGAAAAGAGCGTACCAAAATGAATGAAAATGCAAAGTTGCGAAAATGTCGTAATATTCGAAAATGTCGTAATATGCGAAAAAAGTAGCCTTGCAATAAGTGTATGAAATCAATCTCGTGGTTTCTTGTTGCCTGGCGACAGATCATGGGAATCATAATTTATTCGCAATAACTCATGAAAGTCATTTATTCGAAATGACACCCTGCAGCGAAGCTTGGAAATTCAATGCAGCAATCAGTGAACTCAGATATGTAAATGTTAGAGACTTTATGTTCGTGTTTTTTGCAAGGCTATATTTTCCTTATTTTACCACATTTCGCAACCAAACTTTGCATTTTTTGAGCAAAACTTTTTGTTTCTTGACAATTGGATTAACAATGTTCAATTGTGCATGAATGTTAATGATGTATTGTTTTTTCGAGAAATCGAACCATCGCCTTTGCAGCTGCGATACCACTTCATCAAGCCTCACACAAGGCCATTAGCTCATTCACCCGGACATTTTGGCGATAATTTTACAAATACGTCAGTAGGTAATTATCACATGCAGTATTACATCTTACATCATGATAAGTTAGGCCGGCGAGTGAGAAAAAGGCAACTCGGAATCTGCTGAGAAATCTTTTTGTTAATTGCTAAAGATTTTTATCTTTTTTCGCATTTGAAAACTAACTGTATTTATATAGCATAAATGCATGCAAAAAGTTACCAAATACCACACGGTATTACTTTTATTACCGTATTAATCAACAACACGGTATTAATCAACAATAAGTTGATTTCGTAAAACTATATTTAAAATTCCTAGGGAACTAAAATCAATTGCTGTAAAGCAGAATTACATTGCAGTAGAAAAGGAACATGTCAAATTGCTGATGTCTTGTGAATTTTTTTTTTAACAAATTTTAATTGCGACTTGCATGCAATGTGTAGAGTAATACGACAGTCAAACTTAATTGTGTTGGACGTCTCACTTCATGCAGTCGCGTCAGATGCAATTAAGACAATAGATAATGAGATGATAGCCTCGTTCACCTTTATTATCTTCTCGTTATCTCCCCTCTTAGACGCATTTGACGCGACCGAAATGCGACGTTTAAACGAGACGTTATTCGCGCCATATCTGAAATTCCGTAGTAATTAATAATGGTAATAGGAGTGCAGGTAATAATGGTACTAAAGGAATAGGAATGAAATTAATGCTAAAATTATACGGTGAGTGGTTCTAAAAACTAAAAGCAACTCAGGACCGCGGAGCCGGAGGTTGATTTGCTAACTATGAGTGTGATGTTGATTACTTATTAATTCTATTCCTTCTGTTATTATTAGCGTATACTAAAACTATTGAATGCTGATTGGTCGAGAGAAGTACAGCTATTTCATTTGTAGTAGTGCGGTATAAATAATCATGATTTCTCCAAAACAAACAAATTGTATATATCCTGAATTGTAATTGGCTAGTACTACTTAATACACCTTCAGTCATCGTTCAGCGGCACGATGAAATTTAAGACATTCGTAACCAAACCATATCACTCCGAATAACCAACAAAAAGCGAGAACTATGCATGTGTACATATAATGCGCATTTTGCCAAATGTTCACCCCGCTGCAAAACGACTGAGCATAACCCCGACTTGTACTGCATGCGGTATAAACAAGACTTTGATAAAATGAAGCCCAATTCACAGGTGTTAACTTCGACAGTAAGCAAGATGCTACAGGAGTATATTCAACAACTGTGTGCTCACAATGAGTATTATACAAAAAACGAGAGTGCTTCTTGCGTAGATCGATGTACTATTCCAGGAAAGAGCGAGAAAAAATATCGCTGAAACTGATGTAATCTGTGAAAAAATACTGAGAAAGAGGAAAGTAGATTTGGAGATATTTCTCAGAATGTGAGGGGTGGAAAAGAACAACAAGGAAGCCATCAAAGCACTGTTGAGGTAAATTAACTTCACGTGGATAAGTACCAATCCAATATTATACTCTACCAGCAATGGAACATAAAATGAAATGACCATGTAGACAAATGACAACAAAAATATTTGATAATACAAGCAAAAAACCTGAGACGATGGAGGGCAGTTGTCTGTAGCAAATGATTTTGCCATGGCAAAACCATCGCCGCTGTCTGCCATGGTAAGACTATCGTCGCTGTCGTTATCAATCGAAACTCTTTTCAGTTTCTCTTTTTCTTTTCTGCGAATCATATATGACGAAGTACTTTTGTTCTTTTGTATTGTGGTTGCTTTAGATACACGAGGGTCTCTGTCAGTCCTCGCATTATATTACAGATGCGCATATCACAATGATTATTTTGGAAGCCTCAAATTTTACCTCGTGAACACCGACAAATGGCGCGGACAATTAAGCCCTAGCGGAATAACTAGCCAAAATTAACCCAAGAAATTCATCTGCAATTACAACTTTAAATTTGCACAAATTGCCAAAATGAGATCGTCTGGCAAGCTAGACGGCTATGACATTTTGTCATATGAAATATGACATTTAACATTTTATTTCTTGTTATGCCGTATTTGTTTTTTCGGTACATGCATGCATGTGATCAATAAGAGTGTTCAAATTTGAACCTTCCTCAAAAACCTCATTTAAAGCAAACCTTCCTCACGGGTGGTACCCCTTTACTCGCAGTTTTTTTGCAACTCTGTAGAGTACATGGCTACATGTAACAAACGCCGGTAGTTTTGCTACATTCCCACGAAGTTTTAAGTTTAAACGTTTATTTGAAGAATGCTAAAAAACAAGAGTTTTTCGAGATTTTAACAAAAATGTGGCCAAATATATAATCATCAGTTTTTAAATTGCAAATAATGAGCTGTAACCAAGCAAATAATCTTCTGGCTAGCTAGACTAGTGACATTATCATGAAATGACTGAATGGTATTGCGTCGTAAGCCAATATTTCTATCTTTGGTACGAAATGAATTTATAATCATAAAATTTATAGTCATAAAAATTTCACGTCACCCGATTTCTGAAGGCGTTTTATGGAATGTACCATGCAGCGTAGGTAACTATTGAAATTTCAACCTGTAGTTTATTGATGCTTCAGAAAAACATCAAAATAGTATGAAGTGACATAGTCTGATTCGCACGTGTTTGGATCCCACTATGTTGTGTCCCAATACCCGGGTGTAATTCCTAATCTACCAGCGGAATTAGTACCCTTGACGGCGCTCCGTGCCAACTCTGGGATTATATAAAAGTGACTACGAGCAAAACAGATCGACAATGCATGGGATCCATGAAAGGTAATATATTCTTTTAGTGAACATATTTTTTCAAAGTGATACATTCATAACTTTTATCAAACACGCAAATACAATTTCAGGTAACTTGTGAGAATCGTATTTACAAAGCATTTTGCTTCCAGCTATACAAATCTTACTTCCAATTGCAGCAAACATTTTAAGCAATTAGGCCCCAAGAAGAAATTTGGGTTTTTTTAAGCTGCGAACGTTTTAATGCAAGAGCGCCAGCTTTCTAAAATATATGTACAAGTTGAGCTAGACAGCCAGTTACTTTTGTGAAACATATTTCCACCTCTCTGTGGATGGCGTTGTGCCAATAAAACTATACAAGGTGTCTCAAAAAACGAATGATTTGCCACTTTAACATTGAACTATACATAAATAAACAACCGTGATGCATTGAACATTGAGTCTAAACGATTTAATTTTTACATAAAGAAAGAGGAGATCATTAACTTTGAAACAATATCTTTATTAATGCCATAATGGCCAGAAATGACCAAATAATCGTGTGTTAAAAACGTCTGGTCAAAAACCACATCGTTTTGACTTTAATGAGGCAAGTTTGCCATTACATTTTGATCCAATTAATCACTTACTTCCGATGCAATTCAACTTATCCTATTTAAATGTCGGTTTATTCCATTCCATTTTGTTTGAGACACCTTGTATGTCTTATTAACGTGCTAAATATTTGCATATATATCTCAGTCCTTTTAGTTTAAGAACGGTCGAGTTTGACTAATCATTAATAACTAATGTTAAAATTCAAAAGAAAATAAGCAAACATTTCGCTACCGAACCATATCTTTGCAAGTGGAAATCCTGCATTACTACAGTACTTAAGGCAATTTTCCATTACGTCCGCTTCGCCTGCTCATGCGACCATGATGAAAAACAGCCTTCAGTCATCGGTGGCACGACCAAATTTGCGATATTCATAAAGCAACCAAATCATTCCAAAAAGCCAACAAAAAGCAAGAACAATGCAAGTATACATCATAGACATCTTAGCAAATGTTGACCCTCCTGCCAGGCGACTGAGACAAATTCCCATATGTACTGCAGTATAGGTGAGACTTTGATAGAATGAAGCACTCTTCACCGGGGTTAATTTTGAAAGTAGGCAAGAAGCTACTGGAGAGTTCACCAACTGTGCGCTCAACAACAGCATCGAACAAAGGATGAGGTAACTTTTTTTCTCGACCGACATTGGACTGTTCCAAAAAATTGCGAGAAGGAATGTACATGAAATTGGAATAATCTGAAAAAATATACTAACGAGAAGAAAAGTTGTTTCGCAGACGTTTTCCAAAATGAGTGGGGTGGCAAGAAACAACACGAAGGAAAACAGAGAACTGTTGAGGTAAATTAACTTCACGTGGATAAGTTTCAATCCAAGATTATATTTGGCCAGTAGAGGGACGTAAAATGAGATAACCATGTAGACGAAGTATGACAGACAGATCAGGTAATACATGCAAAATACCATGGACGATGGAGGACAACCATGCCAAGCGAATGACTTTGATAAGCTAATACCGTCGTCGCTGTCGTCATCTAACAATGCTGTTCCCAGTCCCCCAGCTAAGTTTTCTTCACGAATCATCGACGACGAAGAAGGAGGTCGGTTATCATGTTCTGCGGTTGTTTTTGATGATGGGGAGGCATTGTCACTGTCAATAATTGACCTCTCTCCATCACCTGTGTTTTCCGCGAGGTCGTTTGGTAAAAAGAGTGCGCACATTAGTAAGGTAAACCAAATAAGCATCAGAACGACTCCTGGTGAGTTTCCTAGGAAAAGTTGGAACAAGAAGATATAAAAAATTTAAACAGAAGTACCCTAGCTAAAACTAAAACGGATGAGCTTCAAGTGTCTTGGAAAGAGGAAGGACTACCCTACATAGAAACACCTCTTCTTGTGTACGCGTTTTTGATCAATATTTTCAGACGAAATTTGTCTCATAATTATCAGTAATTGGAAATATACATAATAATGCGAGGCAATCATTACAGGCCTTTTTTTGCACATGCATGCATCGCGATAATGCATGTAATAAATCTAAAATATCTCGCGATCTGGAATATTGAAGATGTTAAGATTTACGACGGCGATTTTGACGACGACGACAGCTAATAATGTGTATAAGTGAATTCTTAAGTCTCACTGGACTTCTCTAATCGCCAGAAGTCGCCAACGTTGTTTAGTTTGCTTGACGAGGCAAATCACGTACGTGCTTAGATTGGCAAATGTATGCGTATATATAGAATGCGTGATTTCCTGGCCGAGCATTATCACACGTTAATTCAATTTCAAATTCGATTTAATCGAATTCTTTCAAGCCGTTCATAAACAGATCATCTCCATCCTTTAATAACAACTAAACCAGATTTCAACTATATGCTACAAGGTTGTCGTCGTGTTGCCTTTCTAGATCTCAAGCTCCTTTAGTTATTGTTTTTCGTAATCTATTCCGGCCTACAAATTCATTTATGCTTGTTTGCCCAGACTATATATAAACTACAGTGTAAGACCGGTTTATATTATCAGTTAAACTACCTATTTCGAGATCAGTAAAGATTGAACTGCAACGAACTGAAATGTCTATACCTAGTCTTTTCCTTGCAGCAGAAACGCGAAGATAGCAATTCGATTGCAAATTGCTGCGAAATTTGCTTTGTGTAAGACCGGTTTCCACTAGCGAGAAATTTCGCACGAAACGACATTTTGCTTCAGAGCGGCATGTCAATTGCAACCGTGCATTTGCATGGAACAAATTGATTGCTCAAATACAAAGAATAAATTCGCTTCTCGCGCGAAAAATATCGCTAGCGGAAAACTGGCATAATTAACTGTTTATATAGGGAAAATTACCTGCGTTAATTTTCCAACCAAATATGTCCATTTTGAATGTTAGAACGCTACCAAGTATAGGTCCACATGTGGTACCAAGGCAGTAGAGACCTTCGAGATATAGAAATGCTTTTGCACGATTTCTACTGGTAGTACCTTTAGTTATAACCCCGAACAATATTCCTTCTGTACTAGCGCCCAGACCACATATAAACCTTCCAACCATTGGAAAATATCCATTGATTGGAATTGAATATAATAAATTACCGACGAACCTCACAGCAGCACACATGACGGTTAGTATTTTCGAAACATCAAATTTCACCTCCAGAACTGACACCAACAACCGGCGCGAACAATAAAGCACCCGCGGAATAACCAGCCAAAGTTAATCCAAGAAACACATTTGATTCTCCCAGAAAGTTGATATAATACCAAGCAGTTGGCTGGATGAGAAATTCTTCAATACCCTCCGTCAACAGACGAAACGATATATAGTAGAAGACAAAGTTCTTCAACGAAGTGAAATTTATCTTCAGGGCCATAATTCCGGCTACTCTCTAGCAAAAGAGTAATATATTTTTTCAATAGTTAGTGACACGTATACGTGTTAAGGTAAAAACAATAGCTTTTTACAGTTTTAACAATATCAGCAAGACTGAAAAACGTTCTACGCACCAAACTAGTATATGTTCAATGTTCTTACAACCTTTCAGTTATAAGCCAGGCTAATGTTGATTCATTTGGTACAGACGACGGCCGGTGTCACAGGAAATTTGGCCCCCCCGAAAATTTGGCCCCCCCGGGCCAAATTTCCTAGGAAATATGCCCCCCCCCGGGCCAAATATCCTAGGAAATTTGGCCCTCCCTTCGGAAATTTGGCCCCCCTCTAAAAAACTTAGTTTACCTTACCATTTTAGAGCTAGAGAACCGTTAAGTGTATAAAAGTTTTAAGTGTATAAAAGTCTATCTAGCCGTGGTTTGAGTTACAACTTACAAACAGCACTGACGGATTTTATATAGTGCATGTTACCTGTTTTTGTGTTTGCCGATTGTTTTTAAACGTTTTTATGCAAATTTGTATTAATTACTCCCTAAATGTTAGCCGCATGCACATTAACACTTTCGCCAACGCATGTTGTCATCGCTTGCTAAAGTGTGGTTGTTATTCTGACGAATTTCATATTAGGTTCAGAAACTTGTTGAATATTGAGTCAAAAGTTCTCGATTTCAAAACTATATATATTTTATATATATATGGGGAGTATAAAGTATGTTATCCAGGGGGACCAAATTTCCGAACTGTGCAATACGTGATTTGCCCTCCCCAGAAATTCTTAATTTGGCGACCTTATAAATCATAGGCTTAGCGGTTATACATACATAGGAAAGGCTGTTTTAGGAAATTACCACTTATTTATTTATTTTTCGATTAAAGCCCCTAGTAATGTTATGATAATCCTAGAAGTTAGCCACGTGTACATTTAAAACAATATTCGTCTTAGCTCTTCGCTGAGATGAAAAGCTTTTGAAATAAATTAAGCAAACTATAAGTATGAATACAAACATTTACGATCTTGTTTTTAGAAGAAGCTTCGCGATTCTCGAACTCAGGGGAATAAAGTATATGTTTTCGAGGGGGCCAAATTTCCTAGGAAATATGGCCCGGGGGGGCCAAATTTTGGGGGGGGCAAATTTCCTGGGACACCGGATCGGATTCAGAAAATTTGTGGCACTCAATTGCAATTTAAACAGAGTACTGTCCTTTAAATTTATTTGTGAAAGTCATGAAAAATTAATGATTTATACCCAGGAAAATTTCGTGAATTAGGTCACATGCACAGTATTCCCCATACAAATTAGTTTGTATATATTCAATACAACACGGCCGCTCTTGTTGTAAACATTACTTCAATGAATTTACATTTACAATGGCATTCAGTTGTATCGATAGTCGTTGACAATTTCATGAGAGCAATAATGTTAATAAGCGAAACCGGTTAGGCCGGTAAATTTGCAATTAAACTGTAGCTATATAACACTTCTTAAAATTCTCGATTCCTAAGGGGATAAGGAGTTTTTCCTAAGGATAAGGAGTTGTTTCTAACAATTCGGAAGTGGATGGTTAAAAGGAATGAATTTATTTAGTAGAGAAGTGGGTAGTAGTAATAAACATAAATACCATGCATACATGCAGGAATGATTGTATTTGTAAACGTGACGTAAAAGTTACTGAGAGAAACGAACATTTGGAAATTGTCATTGTTTAATGTCATGCATCGCAGTGGTAATAATATAATTACAGTCTAGATGCCAAACTTTGCCACTTTTTTCCTATATCTTCTCGGTTTGAACCTTTTGCTCAATTTTTCCAAGCTTCCCTACTTTTTGCTGAATAACCCGCAAAAAGCCTCACACCTCTTACTATAAGTCATATTGCAGGTATATAGCTATGCATGCATATTTTGTGACTCGATATTGCTTCCGCGTCGTGCAGATGTCTTACGGGTGATTAATTTTATTGTAAAACGCGTATATTATACAAGCTTATATAGGTATATATCAAGTCAAATCGTGACATGAAGTGAATCGTTACGTGATCATGAATTGCGAACACATCGAATACGATATTTTTTGACAAGGTCAATGAAAGGCACAATTTGCCGTGCCATGCATGTTTGTGAAATGCATTTCCATTGGCATTGATATAACGCGATCAGATTACATTTCAAAAGTGTTATTGCTGAATATATGGCCAATGTTATCAACGATGTTTTTTATTTTTATGTATATATACTATATATCGGCCAAATCAGAGATATACAATTGATTGTATACCTATATACCACTCTGTGGGCATTTCGAGAATTATCTGCATAACTATTAAAGTGGCTGTCAAGTCCGTTCTGCGCATGTTCGCACATTCCTTTCTGTGGGCCCACAGAAAGGAATTTTAATCGAATTATATCCCTATACGCATGCGCATTTAGTCAGGAGCAAGCTGACACAAAACACATCAATCTCGTACCCAGAGCCCGCGTTCCTTTTGGAAGGAAGCTTAGGGCTCTGGCATAATCCATTTTATTCTCCACAAATCGTGGGGAAAATAGCAAGTGCGCATGTGCAACGTATTTCAATATGGAGGACATGAGTAAATTTCACAGTTCAATCGACAACGCGTTATCAAAACTTGGTAAAGCCGAAATATCACTAAAAGAAGCACAATACGAAGCTTTAAAAGCCATAGTCATCAACAGAAATGACTCATTAGTAATATTGCCAACTGGTTACGGAAAGTCACTGATTTATCAAACCCTGCCATTCATATTCGACTATTTAGATCCCTCGCCATCATTGCCTGCTATCATTATTGTTGTTTCGCCATTAAATGCACTCATGCAAGAACAAGTGGAAAAGCTAAGTGAGAGAGTGAATACGATTGTTCTGCAGGCGAACGATAATATTAAAGAAATACATGCCAATTGCCAAATAGTGTTCGCTCATCCAGAAGTATTTGTTTGTGGGTACTTTCGTTCGTTTGCTGCTGCCATGAAAAAGAGAGTTAAAGCGATTGTCATTGATGAAGCCCATCTTGTTGTGGAATGGTAAATAATTTTTTTTTACTCATCCTTTCGTTTTGCAATAATAAAGTAATGTGTGCTATCTTTTCCAAAATACTGAAATGCAATCTTTTTTGTGTCATATAGGAAATCCTTTCGCCCAGCATACACCAAAGTCTCAATATTGTCGAGCTATTTCCCACATGCATCAGTTGTAGCACTGACTGCCACTGCTACTTTAAGCATGCAAAAGGAAATAAAGGAGTGCCTTGGAATGTCTCAGCCAGCTGTTATCACCGTAAATCCAGATCGCCCCAACATTATTTTGCCTCATTTTCTAGACCAAGCAGAGGCAGTGATAAATTGCTTGAGATCCTTGAACCACTTGCTCAAGAACTTCAAACCAAGAGACATGACTTCCCATTAACTCTTATCTATGGTTCTCTTGAGACAATTAGTGAGTGCTATTTGTACTTCAGTCAAACATTGGGTACTAGTCAATATGATCCACCTGGTGCTGCTGCCTTGGCAAAAAACAGATTGTTCACACAGTTTCATGCTCAGTACCCAAAATTTGAGAGAGAAAGAATTGTTTCAGAGCTAGTGAATGGGGAGTCCAGATTAAGATTGTTATTTGTTACTGTGTCATTTGGAATAGGAATCGATATTAATAACATAAGGCGGGTTATACACATTGGTGTACCATATACCATCGAAGAGTACTTTCAAGAGGCTGGACGATGTGGAAGAGATGGCTTACCATCACAAGCATTGATCTATTTCAATAGTTTTGATTTATCAGCTGCAAAAAAGGAGATGTCAGATGTCATGCGGAAATTTGTGCAGGAACCCAAGTGCAAGAGAGAGATGATCTTACATCATTTTGGCCACAAAATGCCCAAACGAGACTTACCAGATCACACCTGTTGTGACTTCCACTGGAGATATTGTGAGTGTGATGACTGTGTGGTTAATAGTGCACAAAATAATGAAGACACCCCTATGAAAAGCAAATATGAAAGGAATGTTAATGACAAACATTTATCTATATGTACATGTAGTAAAACATCATTGACTGACATTGAAAAAGTAGCATTACATGATGCCTTGGTAAATTATCGATTAAGTCTACATGGATCTGGGCCTTCTTGTGTTGGTGGAGTGAGCTTGGCCACTGGTTTCAGTGTTGATCTTATTGACATGATTGTACAAAATGCCAAAGAACTCACATCTATTGAAGAGATAAAAGAAAAATTACCAATATTTGATGATGAACATGCCAAGAACATTTTTGCTATTCTTTCTGAACTTAACAGAGGTAAATTTCCCCCTTTATAAATAACTCTATTCACATTTATATAAGAGCATATTGTTCCTTAATAAGTTACTGTATATGTAAACAACGAGTTTGATCCAACACAAGAAAAACAGTATGAAAAACAAGGACAAAGTGCAAGTTTTTTTATCATTTTGAAGGTTTGGAACACCTAATGAGACACTACAAACAAGTTGTTTACACAACATCTCAAACTAATATGTATTTTGAAAGAAAACTGAGGTGAAAGTTGGCTTAATTTATGTAAGTTCTTCCTAGCTAGGGTATTCAAACAACAATTTTCTTTGTGTTTTTCTCATGAATTACTATAAGTTTTAGATATATAATTATATATATCAAATATTGCACACATGCTGAATAAATGTAATGAATTATTAATAACCTCACTGAAATCTTAATCATCTTCAACATCATTCTCCAAATCTAAATCTTCATCCATACTGTCATCATCAACATCATCATCACAATTTGATAACGTATCCCTTGCCAAACGTTTCTTATGTCTTGTTAGCCACGTGTGTAACAAGGATGTATCAAGATTATTAAGCGGACTTTGTTGCATACTTGAAAATGCCTGTAAATTTCTTTTTGGAGTATGTTTGAATGGATTGAGAGGTTTAATTATCCTGACCATCTCTATTATGTCTTCTTTGGTAGAGGCATGGGTATGGCTGGTTGAATCTGGTGGAACACTGTTCATTTCATCATAAGCATCAACAATCTTTTTTATGCCATGTGAAGCCTTTGTACTTCTTTCAACAGCCTTGAGGGTCTTGTTTCCACACATCCCTTTAAGCATCACTTTGTGATTCTTGATCATCATTTCCATTGCAAGGTCATTCGCACAATTTTTTCCCAATCCACCTTTAAGATTGACAAATTGACCATGAATGAGACGATGAGCTGTTCTCTCTGTACAAAGAGCTTTGATGAGTGTTATCACACGCATTGCCTCAAAAGCATATTTAGTGCCTCTCTTTCGGGCACGAAAGTACAACATCAATAGTTTCCAGTTAATGATACTTCGCTCACCATCCCCTTCTTTTTCTGTATCATTTAATTGCATTAGCATTATGCCCAGTTGGATGCACTGGGAAGCATAATTAAAAAGTCTGTCTTCATCAGGTGCACAATCAGTTGATGACTGACATGTTTTATCTTCTGTATTTGATGTGGTTTCCTTATAGGGCATGTTGGGAATGGCAATTAGCTTTCGTGGCCACAGGATAATTTCATTGATTCTTAGTCCTACATTTTGAGCATCTGGTTCAATAGAAATTACAAGCACTGAAACATTCATAGTGTCTTGGTTTACAACATTAACAACTTTACCAACTCCAATAACTTTGTACCCAGATGTAGTGTTTTGGAGGACCAATATTACAACTTGACCTTTTCAAAGAAAAGAAAAATACATTTTATGTTTGCATGCAGGTTAAGAATACAACTTTGTACTATAGTTAAAGTTCTGTACCTGATAAAAGCTCTGGTAATGAAGATGGGACTGTACAAGTTGTTGGGAGCTTTTCCTTGGCTTGAAGTCGTTTTTTCTGTTGTGTTTGCCATGATTTTTCAGCAGGAAGCTCAACCATAACATATTCATCAACAAATTGGCCAACGGTATTCTTCAAAAATGTTTCCTTCAAAATATTACTAGCATTCTCTGCTGGCAGCTCAATCTTGGATGGAGTACTATCTTCCAAACTATCCAAACCCGCAAACTTCATGAATGAACAGCAAATGTAGGCTTTGGTGGCAGATAGCATCAGATTTTCTGCACTTTTGTAGTTCTTTTTTACAGAGGAATACACATTGGTCATATGAAACAACTGGCGGAGATGGTACAGAGTTCCTATCTCTCTCCCACTCACAGGACTGGGTTTGTATAGTTGTTCCCAAATGTACTTTAAAGAGAGTATAAAGTGAAATAAGTACAATTTTGACTATATAGCTTTGAACTTTGACCATGCACTATATATAAATCTCTTCTTAAAAATTTTTCTTTGCATGTATATATTAACCTACCCCTAGAAAAGATTGCTTTGTGTGCCAAAGTGCTGGAAATTCAGTAATGTTTTGAAACTTGTCAAATTGTTGATCACATCCAAGTCTAGTTTTCTTAGCTCCTGTCACTCTTTCTCTACCCAATAAGTCGCCACACAATGGTACATTTACCCCCTTGAGAATCTTTTCCTTTTCTTCTGTACTGCACTTCTTGTCAGTACTGGATGACTGATATTTTGGAGAGTGAACATTAAGCAGAAATTCTTGCATATGATCCAAATACTTGCATACATCAGAATGCTTTGATTGATTAAATGGAAGAATTGGCAAGCTAATGACTGTAGATTTTATGGCCATTTCATTAGAGTACCTGCATGTAAAAAGCACATTTACTATATATTAATTACAGTGTATACATATTTCTAAATGATCATGCATTCAAAAATTTTGAAAAATCTCTATCAAACCTAGAACAATTTTTGGGAAAAATTTTGTTCAATTATAAGCTGTTGCATGGAAATGTAATTAAATGGTTGAATTGCAATAACCCACTGGGAAGGCTATAACCAGCATTTAAATGAATATACATGCAACTCCTGCAATATCCTGGCATATAATATTTCAAAATAATTAAACAGTGAAGGGACTATAATTCTTTCTTAATCACAGTTCCTAAATGCAGTTTATGCAATTTGGAACTGCCTTAATTGATATGGCAAAAACCAACATATTAACCATATAATATTTGATTTCTAGTCATATGTTGGTTGATGTTTGGATGAATTATGCCACTTTTAACCTGACATTATAATGTTAACTTTGTATAAATACCTATACCTGTGAGGTATATGGATGCAGACATTCTTTTGCAAATAATACAAGCAAGGAAAGAATTCCACTAATACTCTGGATACCAGTACTGTGAAGTCACACTTTAGTTTATTTAGTTCTTCTTGAGATAACAGATATTCTTTGTTTTCAAAACTTTCAATATTGCTAACCAGTGGTGTTGTGTCATCTAGATTTTCAGATGCAAATCTGTCAAATGTGCAATACTGTGCCATCCAATGAATATCTGAGTTCTGGTGATTTTTCAGGATGATATTAGCCAGGATTTTAAAGTCTATATTATCAAAAACAATCCTCAGATTCTTTTTCTTCAACAAAATCAGATCACGAATGGTTGACTCACAATCACTTCCAACATCATCCATAAGGTTGCGAAGATTGTCCCTTGATTGTGTGACACCAAGTTTACCCAATCGCCTGAAAGTCTATTGCCAAAAATAAGAAAAATATTCTAACATTAGTTAGTTAATCAATGCTTATAACCTGCAACTACAGTATTAAGCTAATTAATTTATGTTCATATATTTTCAATCTATATGTACCAGGCTAACAGTTTTATATCTATATATTTATCATTTTTAATTTACAGATACCTTCTCTGTTGCATGACCAGCTCCAATGACTACAGTATTCATTTTTTGAACCATTGACAACTCTCTGTTTCTGGTATTCATCAGAAGTGCATAAGCCATACAAATTGGTGGTACTTGTCGGCCATCAAGCATTAGATTGGGAGCAGCAATTGTAGTTAATACATTTAAAATATCAGGAGCTCTTTCCTTCATCTCATTCAAAATACCTGACCAACAAAATATTTTCGCCAGCTGAGAATGCTCTGATCTTGGTGTACGAAGAATTGATGCAAATTTTTTTGAGCAGAGGCTTTTGCAATCCTTATCGATTTTCTCCAGTATAATTGCTTTCACACATCGCTCGATAACTGGTATGCCCGTGATCGCACTGGCTATTTCTTTTGGCGTTGTCTTCATGACAGCTGCACATAACTCTTGTTGTTCGGAAGGAGTTAATAGGGCCACTGTCTCATTCTGTGAGAATGAAATAAACATGAACATAGCCAATAATAGTAGCCTATGTATAAATTTAGTAGAAAATAGAAAATTAGTTGTATATGTACAAAATATATATTGCATTTACCTTATGCAGCACCATTTCATTTAGAATTTCTACTCCTTTTTCCATATCAGTAGACCGATCTTTCTTTGAAATAAGTTTGGGAGTACCCTTTTCGTCTTGGTTAGAGTCCGATTGGAAGGAGAGGACGGCGTTTGTAGTGGTCTATTAAAATTCGGTGCAAGCCTGGATGTGATCTTGGACTTGGACGGCGAACAAGCCGGTGAGGCAGGCTTTAGACTGGAAAATCTCGACATCAGATCAATTCTACAGGACGGTGGCTTATAATTAAACTTAGGTGCAAGTGTAATTTTTGCAGCACTCTGTGGCCTGGCTGTATTCTTTGATTTTTTTAGAGGAAGGCCAACAACACGTGACTGATCACTGTTTACAATGTTCATATTATTTTCACCGCTTCCTCGACCTCTTTTAAATCGTTCCCTATCGCAAGCTGATCGATTCGCACTTTCAGTTGCCATGAATAAGCTTTTAAGCTCATGCTCTTTCTTAAGTATTGCCAAAACTTTCAGTTCACATGATCTGCAAACGTACCTTGCAAGCCCATCGTCTTCATGTAACATTTCACTTGGTGAAAATCTTTGCAGACATTTAAGTATGCCTTCTCTGCGAGATTTTGCACCAAACAAGTCGACACGGTGTTTGTCTTGACTAATGTCATTGTTGCAAACACGGCATTTGCTCTGAAAAGAAGCTGACCCTTTCCTTACAATCTTTCGCGGGGTATTCATCCCTTTTTGACAGTAGTTGTTATAATTCCAGGTTTGTTTTTATTTTGAAAGCGCGCGAAGAACGAAAATTTCAACTTTAATCTGATTGGTCACTTTTCAAATCTGGAATCTTGAGTATGCGCAGTTCAAACATTGCAACGACCAATCAAATGAAAGAATAAAATGGATTATGCCAGAGCCCTAAGCTTCCTTCCAAAAGGAACGCGGGCTCTGGGTACGAGATTGAAAACACATGCGTTCAACATGGAGGACTCCGAAAGCTCTTCACGCGTTAGTGCCGAAAGCTCTGCGAATTTTAGCCTCCCAAGCAGCGAAGATGCAAAGACTAAACGCAAGGATTACATCGCTAAACGAGATTCGACGAAAGTAGCTCTTTACGAGCAATTTCAGCGTTGGCGATCTCTAAAAGAAGAGCTGGACTTGAAGACAGACAAACAACTGGCTGAAATGCTTTTAGATAATTACGAAAAAGGTGCCCGTATTTCGAGGTGAGAAATTTGAATTATTCATAATTTGGAAACGCATATACATAAATTACGTTCTTCTGAATCTGAACCAATTTATTTTAGTGACGCGGAGACACAGACAAACATTGAAAGCAGAGCTGCGGATTTGTCAGCAATGCCTATGGCCATTAGCCCAAGTAAAGTTTTATATCGACATTCAATGTCACTTTAAACAAGGTCTTTAAATGAATGGTGATAGGTAACCCATGTTTTATTATATTTTCCCTTTTAGTTTCATCATCGACCCCGCTTATTCATACAAGGAGGCATTCATCTTTACCTCCCGTCGCTACTAAACGGAGACGTCTGTTACTCGGGTCTACAGACGCACTAAGGTATTTTTTGACAAATGTGTTTTGATTCTTATACATGTATGTACCAGCGATAAATCATACATTCACGCTCAATACCCAAGTACCTTTGAGTAACAATAATAAAAGAACATGTCGATGTATATTGTAATTACTACCCAATGGGGAATTAGATTATAACATTGTTATTTCTGCTAATTATTGTAGGACACAAACTGTAGATGAAGAAGAAACACTGTCAGCTATTGATTCTGATGATAGTGAATTGGAGGACAATAGTCAAATATCATTGGAACATCCAATGTATGTTTATAAACTATAATTTGATGATTTAACAACCAATCACAATTTATCACATAAAATGTAATGACTACCCAATATAGCATATATCACTTGACTATAGAGCTTTATATACTATTATATAGGGTTGGAATTGATGACATTGATAAGGTTTCCTTGGAAGAAGAGGTATTAGATACCACAATCAATGGTCACAGTGATGATGATGCTGATGATGATGATGATTGTGATGATGGTGATGATGATGGCACTGAAAAAGCCCCAAAAAATAGCAAACAAAGTTTTGTTCGTCATATACCATCCACTGATGTTCCAAAACTAGAGTTATGCTTGGCATCAACCACAATAATTTTGGAACTACTGAAGACACTGCATGGTCCTGTTTGTACAAGAGTTGGATGTAGTCGTCCATTGAATTTCAGGAATTCATTTGTTGGAACATGCCTAGTTGTTAATTGGGGTTGTTCTGCTGGCCACTTTGGTGGGAGGTATGTCTATTTCCAACTTTTCATTTTTTGGTACCGGTATTTATGATGATATTTTACAACCAAGTAACCTGGCACTTTAATGGATAAAAGTTTATGTTGATCATTTTGAAGACTTCTAAAATTGATGAACCAATTCATTTCAGATGGGCTGCCCAACCAACTTGTGAAGGTGTTCGTGCTGGAAATTTGCTTTTGGCATCTGCAATACCTCTTTCTGGCAATTCATATACCAAGATCGGATTTCTTTTCCAAGTCATGAATGTACAGTTTATATCCAAAAACTTGTACAACCAATACCAGAATTTATATATAGCTCCAGCAGTTAACAGCTATTGGGAGGAATTAAAGAATTCGTGTTGGGCAGAGCGTGAAAATAAGGATATTGTTCTCAGTTCAGATGGGCGTAATGATTCACCTGGACATTGTGCACAGTATTGCACTTACACCTTTGCAGAAATGGATTCCAAGTGCATTTTAGATATCAACTTTGTTGAGGTGAGAGAAGTGGAGGGTAGGAAAAGTCCAAACATGGAAAGAATTGGATTTGAAAGAGGGCTTGACAATCTATTAAAATCAACAATGATTATTAAAGAGGTTGTTACTGATGGCCATTTGGAAATTGGTGCATTAATGAGTAAGTATTCTTCATTGCACTGTTTCTTTATAAACCTTGTCAAATGCTATCAAAGGTGGTTGCTTTGGTTATGTCTTTTATGTCACCCTATTTGTTTTCAAAAATGTATAAAATGATGCTCAAATAACATATTGTGTGGAAATTGCTGATTTCCTAACCATACATATGTTTTTTTTTTAGAAAATGCTGCAAAGTATAAAGACATTGTGCATCAAAGAGATGTTTGGCATGGTGCTAAAATAATTGGGAAAAAAGTTATTTCTGTATGTATTTAACTTCTATGAGAATGAGGTTATTGTGTACCTTTTTGTACATTCTGTGCTTGGTACCTAAGACATTTGGTTATGCTTATCAACCTAGGCTGCCAATGAAAAAGGAAATGAAGATCTTTCTTTGTGGATTGCGTCTGTGAGAAACCACTTTTGGTATTCCAGTCGCAATTGTGGTAGCAATGTTGATAATTTGAAAGTATGTTATTATTTGAAATTTTCAAACCTTTTGCTGGTGTTCATGAAATTAATAAAATGGTGCATGGTGCAATATTTACCTTTTGAATGGACACAAATGGTATTTATGTTTATCTACTATCCATATGTACCATACCTAATGTTAATCCAAATAATTTGTTTTTCAATAGGATATATGGATAGGCATTCTCCATCATGTTGTTGATGAACATGAATGGGCATTGAAAGATGGCATAGCAGATGGGAAATGTGGCCATGGTGATCTAAGAGAAGAGGAAAGAGCAAAACCATGGCTGACAAAGGACTCTTCATCGCATAAAGCTTTGAGAAGCATTGTGCTGAACAAGCGACTATTGAATGAAATGTCATATTACACCAGATTTAGGTAATTACAATTGCCATACAGATACCCACTATTATGATACATAAATGCAATACTAGTTCTTGGATATTTTATTGTTTATCTGGTAGGCTTTTTTGAGATGTAGCCAAAAATAAGATATACTGTAGCTCACATAATATTCCAAGTATGATGCAATTCCTCTCAGTTTGCACTTGTATATGTACTTTATTTTGATATTTTAGACATACAGGTTTTCTGGAATCCTTCCACAACCATTTGTTGATGTACTGTGCAAAACGTCAATCATATACGTAAGTTATATTGAAATTATATGGGCTCACTGGTCATGAGCTCATGTGTTGTATACACTTGGTGAATTCCTGAAATATCCTTGGCTATCTAAAAGTTGCTTTTTTTAAATTTAAAGCTTAATTGGATATAAGATGCGAAATCAACTGGCAGCAATTGACTTTAATAAACACAGAACAAGACAAGTTGCAAAGACATTAGATGGAAAACCAAGGTTGGTTTTATTGTACTTCTCTTCATTAATGTGACATGTCATTCAAGAGATTTTCTTACATGTGTTGAAGTTTGGGTTAAACTTTTTGATTTGCTGTTGTGAATTATAATGTTACCTATATTGACAGTTAATAAAATATTAACTCACCTGGTGCTCAAGGCCCTTATAATGTTTTGTCTATTCTACCCAGGTATTATGCCACCTTTTGAGATGAGTTGGAATGGTATGATTTAATCAGAATTTTTAATGCATTCTAGATAAAAGCACACTACAGTAAAAGGACAAAGCAATGGTGCCCTGTTGCAGTCCTTGAGCAAAGGAATACATTTGCCAGAATTGATCACTGCAATATTTGAAAAAAGAAGAACAACACCTGGCCATGTTACACAGAAGTTAGGTCTTGCTCCAGATGACCCCCGGAACATTGCCAGGAATATTGCTGTGGTACCCCAGCCTCCAATGGAAGAGCTTCTGAGACAACACAAAACAAGGTTTTGATATGAGGGAATACCTTACTTGTGACACTATAACTTGATGTCACACATCCATGGACTATATATATGTAATTTTAGATGATTTGTGGGAATTTAAATATTGGTAGGGGAGGCATGCATAATATTGTGTGCAAGTATCTTATAAATTATAGTGAATGAATAAATTTGCATAGGTCATGCCATGCCACTAGTGAAGTGTGTCAATAATTTACTACACATGATTATGTACTCATTAACTTGCCAAAATATCAGTATTACAGTAGTTTTTACCATAGTCTTCAAAGTCTAGCTGGCCTGAATCCTACATACAATCCATTTGGTGAAGGATACCTCGCTCTTATTTTCAGCACACAGCAACTTGGCACAACAACTCTGTTACCTCTGCCTAGACGTCCATATTGCCATAAAACGTACTGTCTATAAGCAGCATGACGAAAGTTTTCGTTATTTCTTGCATGGTCAGCTACAAGTACATCCTCTCTGTACCTCATAGCAATGTCTAGTACATTGCCATCCAAAACCAGTTGGAGGAAAAGTGGACTGGTTGTAATACAAGGCATTACTCTACGGCAGCAACATTTGTTTTCTTCTTGTGTTGGCATTGGGATGCAACAACCACAAAAGCACCAGTCTGGACTATCTGCTGGTGGGGGGTTAGGCTGTGGTGGAGCTTGTGCTGGTGGGGGGTTAGGCTGTGGTGGAGCTTGCTCACCTCCTGGGTTTGCCAACTCTCCATCAACCAAGTCAGCAAACGCTGCTGGCTGTCTTCTCAGGAGTTCCAATGCCAATCTCCTTACTGCTGCCTCATCAAGTTGTGCAACCAAGTCCTGAAATTGTTTTATTTCAAAATTAATTGCCCTATAATTTTACTCTGTAGTTAAAAGAACAATGTCAAAAACATTTACATGCCTGCAGTTGTTGGTCATGAGCCATAACGCGTTGTTGAGAGTCGCCTTCCTCGACTAATCTCCCTCGACCTCTTCCCCTACCACTTTCTCGACCTCTACCCCGACCTCTTCCGCGACCTCTTGCCCGACCTCTTCCTCGACCACGACCTCTTCCTCGACCTCTCCCACGACCTCGACCTCTGCCTCGATTTTCGGTGGCCTGTCCTTCATCCTCGCTTCCACTCGCCCCGCTAGTTCGCACACGTTTTGCTGATCTACCTCTAGACCTTGTTTGGACAGAGTCACTGGACACGTCTTGTAATTCACTTTCATTGTCCTGGGATATTCGAAAGGGAAATATATAAATATTTACAGTGTAACAAAATCCAGAAGCTCATGAAGAACTCATTAAAACTTTTCCTACCTCGTATTCTTCAGATGAATCTGAATCGCTTTCGATGTAATGACGGCGATTCCTACACGTAAACGATAGTCCATCGTGGCACGCTAAACTGCAATACTGTCTCGCCGTTTTGCATGGGCAAGCATTTCGTCCTATTTCGCGCAAACACATACCACCGCAGGAACACGTTGTATTATCATCTAAGTTAGCGACCTGGGCAATCCCTTCAATTTGTAATCGCTCTGCATCCCCAACGTCCAAACTTTCGTCCATATCGACAAGTAATATTGTCCAATTCAACGGTGTAGAAAAAAATCGCTGTCCAACAGTGTAGAAATCAGAAGATATGAAATCGACACCGTATAGTATGCAAATTTCATACAATTGATAACAGAGACGCGCTTAATTTTCAACATTCTCAAATTTCGTGAAAACCGGAAGTAATAGGCGGAAAACGTCATGTAAAATATATATAATAGTTCACGATGTAAACAAAACACGCGCGTGCGCAAAACGGACTTGACTGCCACTTTAACATAATCATAACGGGCGAAAATGACCGACTTAGTTGAGGACATTTGATTTCAAGAAAAAAGAAAAAGGGAGATTTTCTGCCTGATCATCCGTCACACTATTTTAGGTTACTGACCCTGGATGGTTCGTTTATTCAGGAAAAAGGAATCAATTCGTGTGATTCTCTTTTGAACACTTCTATATTATAGATTATACAGAATCATCGCATGATTGAACTCCTTTTCTCGGCAGATTCTCTATATGGAGATTGCAGATTTGTACCATTTAATATAGATTAGCCAAATCGCATGCTAGTCGCATTTGGGTTGTGGTATTTATCGAGGCAAAACGTACAACAGGGTGTTGTTGTACATCATGGTATACGCATGCATGCGAATCATGCATATCTGTGGGACAAGATTAAAAATATTCAGCGATAAACTTCTATAGTATACCTTTATTTTAGTTTATATTATACGTTTACACACAATCACGTCAAATATGTCGCTATAACTAAAGCCAACGACTCTTGCTTGTATACATTGAAATTCCCTTTGGATTTAGGCCGGAATGCACGCGAAATTAATCATCACTTAAGCTCACGCATATTAAAGCGTGGGGTCATATGAATATGCCAGGATATATCTCATTCTAGACTGTAGTATAACTGGTCGAATTAGAGGCTATATACAATACCTTGGAATATCTGACCACCGAGATGTGAAGCTTTTCAGCGATGTATATTTTGTTTGGTATCTCGAACGTACTCGATAGTTTAGTATATAGCGGAGCAGAGAAGAAATGCATGAATGCATGTACAAACCGGTTTGGGAAGTAAACATGCCTAACCTAACAGCTCCATTTGGCAGGTTGATGTTTATTTCCCAAACCGGTTTACTAATACGCCAGGCAAGTTGTTTTTTGAAGTGTCGTTCGCATCATGTTCCCTAGTTAACATTAACACAGTATTAAGTGTAGGTATGCGGAATTAGTTTGGGTATACACACACCAGGACGTAATTCAGAACAAAGGAACAGGCGAAATATACATATTTATTGCTTGGATGGGGGTATTATACGCCACTATACATGCGCCATTACATCCGGGGTATACAGTGCGGATATTTTCAGTATGTTACGTTTGGGGAGACAAAACGAGTTTCGGAAACAAAACGAGTTTCGATTAAAGTCGGAAATACAAACGAAAACACTTAAAAGATATCTTTTTAGATAAGTAAAATTTATTATACTTTAATGTTTGGGTTATAATTTTGACTTTTGTCATGGTCTTCCACGGCTGATTTACTTGTCGTCTTTGCATGTGTGTATTTTTGTCACTCATAATTTAGTCCATATAATAAACAGGGGCCGGTTGTATCAAGCCCGTTTAGCTTAAACGGTGGTTAAGTTCAAAATAGAAAGCAACTCTATCGTTTTATTCAACAAGTGAGCCGGCTAAATGTTTTTTACCTTGATACAAAAATACTGTCTACAACTACATATTCAGTGGCTTGATACAATCGGCTCCAGAACATTACACGGTTCGCTCGAAGAGAAATATTTTATGTTCTCAGTTCTCGTGTCAAAGACAGGTAGTGGTACATAAAATCCATATCTATATACTCGCCACCGTGTGATATCCTATATATATTATGTATGGTGGAATTGGACCTTGACTTATATTTACAAAAGAATGAGATTCATGAAATTCATAATTCTTTCATACTCATTAAATCGTTCGGAACCGAATGAAAAGGATACAGCTATAATTCTCTAAGCTAAGCGCGTCGTAGTAGACGCCTCAACTCAGGCTATGTTGATGGTTGGCCATGCATCATTTACGCGCGCTTTTTGACCATTTGCACGTAACACGCATGTAGACGGGACCAAATTTATCTTACCTAAAACAAAATCTATAGAAAGATATTTTTGGTCCATTTTCGCATGATTTTGCTAAAGTTGAAAATTAAGAAATTAAAAGCATTTGAAGTATTTCAAGGGGATGTATATATTCCTATATTTCACCAGTACTCCCGTAAGTCCCGTTAAAAATCGACGTTTCCCCTTCTATAGGCCTGTTTTCCACTAGCGATAATTTTTGCGCAAAGCGACATTTTACTTTTGTTTCAGAGCTTTCAACTGCAACCATCTGGAACAAATTGCTCAAATACAAAAGAATAAAGACGTTTCGCGCGAATAAAATCGCTAGTGGAAAACCGGCTTTATTCAGGCTCATCAGTTGAGCGTCTTATATTATTTTCTTGAGTACTGGTATTTTCAGTATTGTAATTTTTCATGCTAATCGACTCATGCATGACTGCGTGTATATAGTATGCATAACCATGTATGCATAACCATCTCACGTATCTCAAATTATAGCGTTTAAATTGTTAGAGTTCTAAACTAAAGCATAAACATGTAGTCAGTAGTTGTTGTTTTTTTTGTTATTTTTTCTCATGATAAAACAAGACGGCGGATATATATCGATAGCCGGTGCTTTTGATCGGCAATATCTTGTAAAGTAAGGAAGGTGAGAAGGCTCTATAGGTTTTTGTGAGAAGGTTGTTCCAGTATAAAATTCTAAGCACTTTACAATACCGTATTTCTGCATGGTTTTACGCTTTCGAAAGACAGGTACAGACTATGAAAAATGACGCGAAGGGAAGCTCGAGTGTACGCAGTTGCTGCAGTTATGCGACGTCCAGATTAATGATGATTGATGATGAATCGAGTCCTCCAACCCGGGTGGAGTCGTTATGCCAACTGCCTCTGGCATGTTGTGTTCATTTTGTGATAAAAAATGGCTTTTTTATTGCTTCAAAATTCGGCAATAAATTATGATTGAGTTATCGCTCAACTTACATCTGTCCCAGATCAAATTGTCCCTTCTTTCTTTTTTTTCTTACATTTCAAAACGTACAAATATAACAGGTTTCTTGCTACATTCGGTTCGTTTCGTATCTCGAGCGTTAATCCCGAACGTCATTCAACATGATTTCGAGTTAATCCCGTCACTGAACGAAACCCTTCGCTTCCCCCCCCCCCCACAATGCATAATGACCGGTCGGCTGTATGTCCCTGTTGTCATCGTCACCATGATACAGTTCCACTATCTTTCCAGCAGTGTTGTCCACCATTTTCTTCTTATTGAGTGAAGATCAGATACTATGACGTAATCATTGACCGATTTTGAGTATTCCATTTTCAGTTAGCGGTGTAAATTGCTGTGGGGCATCTCTTGACCATTTCCTGCAGAAAGCATCGACGATCCTTTGACAAAATTCAAAGCGGTGTCGAGAATTCGCGTTTTTCGAAAAGATTCTTGACGCACGGTGCATGATTGTAGCTCATTGGGATATAAGTATGTGGCCCATTGTGGCCCACGTGTCAGTGCATGTAACTCAAATGGCGTTAAAATGGCGCGCATCATCATTATTCGCGGTTTTTGCGCTTTATCACTCAAATCATCATCTTTCACACTTTAGGCGTTTAACAGTTCTTTTACTTCGCTAACCGGGCGTTGTGTAAACTATCAATTCCTTGCCAGGGGTAAGCGCATATGTGTTAATACACCGTTTTTGCGGCCCTTCGAAAATTCGTCGCTCGTTTTTTGTCCATTCTGGCCCACAGCTAGACCGCCTCATTAGGGGAGGGTCGAGGGGGTGTATACGCTTCAAGCTACGGCCCTGTGTCCATTTTACTTCTCAACTTAAACTAACTGAAAGTCTGAAACACATGTTTTTGGTCTAGTCAGGTCTCGAGCTTGATTGCATTTTAAGCAAGTTGATTTCCCCGTTCGTGGATCGTCAACATCATAACTTTTATCTAATGCTACTTTGTAATAATCTAATAGCTCTGTTTTAGAGTCATCGTTGAATTAATCTTTAAGACTTTTGAGAGAGCGTTCCAGACTCGACTTGATCTTACTATGATCTTACTACGAAGGATTTTTGGTAAGTAGATGTTTTACATTTTGTAGTCTGAAATTGTAGGCAATTATGATTTGCAGAACGGGCGCGTCTACTTAAAACTGATGGGTGAGGTAGTATGTCACTGCTTAAGTTTATAATTTCATGGTGTGATTTAAAAAGGAACAATATATCCAGGTACACGTGCCAGTAACAGATACAGGTAATAGATTTAATGTTGATAGACGATGGTTATAATTGATTCCACAGAGGAAGGGTGGGTCCAATATGCACTTCGTCGCCCGTCCTTTAATGCGTCCTGTACGATTGACGAGGTGAACAGATTGTGGAGCCCAGACTTGGGACGCATAAGTGAGGTGGGAACGAACGAGTGCTAGGAATAAGGTCCGACGAACTGAGATTGTCTTGATTTTAGGGGACCGTCGAATATACCCAAGTGATTTTATAATATTGGCTTGGGTGCATTGGAAGAGGTCCAAACGCCGAGATCACGTTCACTACTGTCTACTGTTTTCAGGGCGGAATTTTGTAGTTTGTAAGTATAGTCGATTTTATTGCAGTTTTCTAGTAATTCGAAGTGTCTGTGTTTAAGAGAAGTTAGCGCTGCCAGAGGAAGTTTGGAGATTCGTAAGATCACTCTCCAAGGCAGATGCGTCTGCTTCCGAGTTTATCACCTTGTAAATCTTTGTGTCGTCAGCAAACGTCGTAATCTTAGAATGGTTAATAGTTCTGAAGAGATGGTCCTGATATAGAAACGGACCAAGGATTGATCCTTGCGGAACTCCGGAGGTCACTGGTAATGGTGATGATGTTGCACCAAGTACTGTACTCTGCTAGCGACGGTCCTTGGCTTGGGCGACAAAAAGACCTCGGTCCGATATTTCTCGGTAAAGACCTCGCGTTCGGTTAATAAGAAGTTATTATTGGACGAGGTCGAGCAAAATATCGTGATTTTTCGGTGGTGATCTGCGAACCACCGACAAATCACGATATTTTGCGAGAACTGAGTTCAATAATCGTTTTATCATTCACTTATCTTAATATTTTCGAGACTATTTTTTGATATTTTCCGCGTTTCTTCTTCAAGTAAGCAATACAACAATACAACTCATTTCCCGAAAGTGAATTCAGCAAAGCGAGAAGTCGCCATTATTGTTTACAAAATTGAAGTTAATGCGCATGCTCAGAGAATTATTTAGAATTTTTTGCAGCTAAGCAACGTTTTGAAAAAATGCGCATGCTCAGAGTATTATTTGCACGCAGTTAACTCAGATAAATGAACCAATCAAAATTGAGTATACGATAGAGTGAATGATAATATTGCTTCCTCGTCCATCGTTAGTCAACATATATTTAATAATAATACGGTATATTTTAAAAATACGGTTTTCATTACGTAGAAAACGTATTTTAAAATCTGAAGATCTCATTTCGAAGTACCAGGGCGCTTGAAGCTTGTGACATATCTCAATACTGGAATAATTGCGTCATAGAAATCAGCCAATCAACATTGAAGAAAAACGCACAAAAACAACCCGCGGTCATGTGATCAAGTGTATCTTTTCTGGCACGTGGGGTCGGTGATCTTGACGAACCTCGTGCGAGGAATTTACTATGAATTGTACTTGTGTTGTAAATTATTGTTGTTTCATCGCGTAGTAATCTGCTAGGAGTTTCCCTTCGTCAATTTGTTTGTTTTGTTTTTATCAACCGGCGTTTTTAAGTGTCGTTTTAACTTCGCCCACTGTGTATACCGTACTGATTTTATTATCGATCGTGGGCCGCGTGAATTCCACCATTTTATCTGCTTGGAATTTTATTACATTCTTCCAGTTGGCCATTGGAAATAAATATGGAAGATCTGAACGGTAGGTCTTTCTTGTTTCATTTGTACGAATGCCGATGAACAATTGCGGTTTTGCTTCGCTCAATTTTGACGACAGTGCTGGCGTCAGCTCGAACAGCTTTTGCAAACGAACTTGTTGTGGTTTATATTGAAGTCGGGAACAAAAGTTCGCTTTGTTCACCTGCAATATGCAACTTTGATTGCCTCGTTCACGACGTAGCATAAGGTGGCCTTCTAGTCGTGACATTAGGCTATGTAGCTGAGCAAGTGAATATATCTGGGCGGCTTTACAAGGCAAAACAAAGGTGCTATACACGTGTGAAATTGTACATGTTGTCTTTCAAAATATATCTGGCGTAGCTTCGTTTGTGTATTCCCGGTGAATCGTTTTATTGTCAATCTATACTTCTAGCTAACGAAAATAGAGGTTGTATTGAGATCAATCGATAGTTTAAACAGTGCTGTTCGTTTTGTTGCTCAGTTGTTTCTCTCTATTGAATTCAAAGTAATGTTTATTGCAAATTAACAACGTCCGTGTTGCTTCCCCCACTGTAGGTCAGGAGTTCATGGGCTCATCCGGCCAGAACCCTCCAGTCAGAAGGTATGTGACTTCGATGGCTATACACGTATGTTTCGTAAACATTCGTTTCTTTTGAACGGCCTGAAATTTTAGATGATAAACAGGAACTTCATAGACAATTCCTTTTGAAAAGAGATAAGTGGATATTCAAAATGTCTCATATTCATATGCCAGGACTTGTCTATGAAATAGTATCAGTACCCACTTCCGACTGTAATTTCTGGGGGAGCTTTGTTCAGATTAACTGTTGCAAAAGGAGATTGTTTAGATATAATAAAAAACCAACTGAAATTAATGTGTGAACAAGAGGCCAGTTGCATAGTTACAACACATATTTAGAGACAAAAAACCATGTTTATACCATGATTGACAATTATCTATGATTTAATGCACTTAAGATGCACTTGAGATGTATCTGGTGTGTTTATAATAGATACCTGGGGATTTTTTTAATAAATGCACACCCTTGATACATTCTACAATTTTACTTACGTTTAACTGTTGCACATATCTGAGTCCAAATCCAAGTATATAAAATATCACTAAGTAACCGAGAAACAATTTGGTACCATCTTTTAATAACTTTAATATATCCAATCTATAGGATATATTAAACAACTGTCTAAAATAGACAAAAACACATCTAATCACATGTTTAAGGTACAAGTGTCATGATTTAGGAGCAAGCCAGCCTTTGGTAACTGGTTCAGTGTGCTCTACTAAAGCCTCTTACAGACAAGCAAGTTTTCTATGACATGTTTTTTAATGACAAGTTACAGACAAGCATGTTTTCTATGACAAGTTTTTATATGACAAGTTTAATTGTCCATCTGTACGCCCAACTTTGACAATTTTTTCTATGGCAAATACACTTGTTCAAAATCAAGTATACTGTACCAGCAGAGTATTTTGCATGCACACATTGTCCTCTGTACGATCACATCGCTAGCTGCAAACTAAATTGTCAAAGTAAACTTGTTGGCACGTTCACACAAGGAAATAAAACTGTTCAAAGAAAGTGTTATAGAAAATTTGTTGTACATACACAGTGCAAATGCCAATTAAAACTTGTCATATAAAAACTTGTCATAGAAAACTTGCTTTTCTGTAAGAGGCTTAAGTTCTATTGTTGCTAGACTGATAAATTATTAATTTTTATAAGACTTTTACTTGCCAGTTACAGATGCAAGTAGCAGTTGGGGAGGTTTATATACATTAGTTTGAAGTATGTCTTGAAGCTTAAGTACACTTGAAACAATAAGACACAGCTTAATTTGTTTTTGCTGTCATAAAACTGAAAATGCTGATTGTGCAATTTAGCCCTTGTGTTTTTGGATATTTATTTGTTGGGAGGCATTTATCTCTTTATTAAACATTTAATAGTACATATAATAAAAGATAATATATTTGTTATTTTGTATGGTAGTAAAGGTAGGCAAAAAGCAAAATATATTTTTCAATGTTTTTAGAGGAAGGCTCCAGGTTTCCAAAGTTGGACCAAGTTTTAATTGGCAGGTACGATAAAACAACATTTCAGTTTTTTTATACTCCCTATTATCAACTTTTAAAAATGCTTGTTCCACACAAAGTATAATAACTGTGGTGCAACACCAACTACCCATTATTAGTTATTTGTTGTTTCACTTGTTTGCCTAATTAATTTTTATAGGCATTTCAAACTCACTTAGAGTCATATGGACAAATTTTTAAAACAACTTCTCAAACTGATGAAGGTAATTGAACTTCTTACAACTAAAGTAAACATGATGGGGTATGAAGCATGTCTGGTTTGGACATAGAGCAACCAAACTATGCTTAATTTCCTTTTTAATTGTTAAAACCAACAAGTAGAATTGCATTTCTGTTTGGATGCTTATTATTGCTTATAGAATATTTCTTATTTTTAAGGTTTTTGTAAACATTGTCTACTTTCCAAAATGTAGTAATTTAAATTTTGGATTTAAGATATTTCATTCAAAATTCTGAATAGTTATCATAGGTACTTTTTTCCAGATATAAAAGAAATTTTTATAATAGCAACTAAAACCGAATAATTTTTATTAACATGTATAAAACAGGGTTGGTAAATTGCTGCATATTTGAGGCCAAACAACATCACACTAGTTCTTTGTTTCCTTTGTCTTTGCCTTTTGTTATCTTTGCTTTCTTGATAGCACTAATGACAATTTGGCCTCAAATATTTGCATATCTACCAACTCTGGTATAAAACCTTAATCTGCTTTTTTTCTTTGGTGGAAAAGCATTCACCATTGATCACCTAATATTTTGCATGGAATTAAACAACTTGTGTATACTTTGGCTGGAATATACTATAATGTCAGAATTATGAAGATCCAATTTTGAAATAAGGTTTTTAATCTCTGTTTATGTAGATGACCAGTCATTGTTGACATGTTTTGTTGAATTTGCAGACCCAAATAATGCAAGAAGGTACAATTTGTAATACTGTATAGTTTTGACAACTTATTTTGGATTTTTTATTATAAAGTTATGGTACTGTACTTATATCAATCCTTCACTTTGCAAAATTCAAAATTTTCCACTGAATTTATGAAAAAAATTTTGAATCAAATTTGTCCCCAGAACTCTGCTGTTTGTTGTGTCACAAGGGGGGGGGGTGCAATTTATTTTGGCAAAAGCTGAATCTGCAAATTTTGCCTGCAATTGCTTTGTAAAATATTCAGTTTTTCAATTTATATTTGAATAAAGGGCTGCAGATGATTTGAATGGAATTGATTTTGACGGTAGTAGATTAGAGGTAAGGATATTAGAGGTACAGTACTTACGTCAGAACTGGGTGGCAGGTTGCATGCAAGAAAAACTACATTGTTCGACATTACCTTACTACCGAAGGACTCATCCTAATATATGTGTATGTATAATGCTTACATTTGTTGTGTTGCAGCTAGCATATTTTGAGGACGATTCCCAACCATTATATGATGACACGACAAAGCAAAGAAATCGACAGGGCGGTAGAAATAGACCTCGATGGAATAGACAGAATAGTCATGCTAATATGCCTTTAAGGTGAGATATAAATTGAAATGTTCTTGTTATAATCCGGAAAATGCATGATCCAACTTTGATGTGCCTTTGATTGCAGCTATCTGGTTGATCGAGTTTTTTAGCAAATTTAGAAAAGAGGGATTAGCAAGTTTAGAAAAAAAAGGAAGTTCGGAGTAAGGATATTTTGTATAAGACCAAAAATTGGTTACCCAGCGTGGATCAAATTGATAAGCAATTGGCGTTTGCCAAAAACAAAAACAATGCTTTGCCAAAGACAAAAACAATGCTTTGCCAAAGACAAAAAAAAACTTTTTCTGGTTTGAGGCAAACCCGTAATCTAAGGCAAACCCGTAATCGAAGGCAAACCCGTAATCGAAGGCAAACCCGTAATCGAAGGCAAACCCGTAATCGAAGGCAAACCCGTAATCGAAGGCAAACCCGTAATTGAAGGCAAACCCGTAATCGAAGGCAAACCCGTAATCGAAGGCAAACCCGTAATCGAAGGCAAACCCGTAATCGAAGGCAAACCCGTAATCTAAGGCAAACCCGTAATCGAAGGCAAACCCGTAATCTAAGGCAAACCCGCAATCTAAGGCAAACCGTCACGATGCATTTCAATTGCTTCTCATTGCTAGAATATTAATTCCTGGCGACATGGTTGGTGCTGTCATCGGAAAGGGCGGTGAAACGGTCCGCAAAATGTCAAATAACACAAATGCAAGGTATCCTCTTTCATCAATTTTTCACTCCTTGCAGTTGTTGATTTTTTTAGCTCCAATGTACATGTTTGAATAGGTTCTTCGTCATATACGTCGCAAAGTATCGATGCACCCAAAATATTTGCTAATCCGCCTGCTTTTATTTTAGAATTGATGTACATAGAACTGTTAATATAAATGGATTTAAGGTTTGTCTACAGTCATTTTCGTTTAAAAGCCTTAGCAACTTAATGTTGCGGAAGGTTAAACACTACACCAAAACTGGAAAGTTCACTGCGAGTTACGAGCGGAAATTTCAAAACTATAGCTGAAAGGGGAGAAAAGAATATTTCCAATAATTTTAATATTTGTATCGCTAAAGTCTTGAAATTTCCACGCCGAAAAGACGTTTTCTTTTTGTAGCTTCATTTTGATAAACATTTTCTTCGATTTTCGTGCGATTTTCTTCTTTTGAAAATCACACAAAATCGCAGCCAAAATCGAGGTTTTCTTATACCCAATTTCCCTCTGACTTTCCTCTTGGTCAAAGCTGTACACTCGTACATATATGTACAGTGTATTCTTGTGTCACCGTTCCTTGGGTCGGCAGGAAAACGATACGTATATTTCATGTTATTTTTTTCTGTGTTTTCAGCCTGTAACAATAACAGGCCAAACAGACAGACCAGGAGAAAATTGTAGTGCAGCATTTAGGGAAATACACCAGAAACTTATCGAAGAAGCAGAAAAGAAAGCTGAAGGGTAGGCAACAATAAACGTTTTTTGCACCGCACCATGTTCTTGCATGGACTGCGAAGCGGGAGGAGGATATGGTGTAGAGGGGTGACATGTGATCTTTAACGTTTCCGTCCTCCAAACATATCTGTCTATTGTTCACAAAACAACAATTGGACAGTAACGTTGAAAATGAATTGGGTGTAGCAACATTGCTTAATTCTGTTTTTTTTCATCTAGGGAAGAACAGACGAGCATACCAATGAGGATGTTAGCGCCTGATTTGCTGATGGGTAGAGTAATTGGTGAGTTTCAAATAAGGTTGTCTTTCCCGCACAGTGTGGTTTTATATATTAGCGTTGACTTTATCCTCTTCGGTATTTAGGAAAAGGGGGTAGAAATTTAAAAGAAATCAAAGTAAAGACGGGGACAAAAATAGATGCAACTAGGTAATAAAAATAGTAATGATGTGGTTGTTGTGTTTTTGTATTCAGTAAAATATACTCCTGCAAAAAAAGTTGTTAATATAAAATGAAGTTAGAAAAACTGTTTTTGGAAACAATTTTCATGGAGAATGACTAATTAATCTTATTAAATCAAAAAAGATATACATGTCTGACCATTTTTTTCTGTACTAAAAAGAAGCGCTCTTGGGAAGAAGGTATTGTGTCTTACTCTATTGTGCCTATTAAAATCAAGATGTTGTTTTGTTCCTCAGAGATCCTGTCACGCCAGTTTTTAACGAAAGAATAATCACTATCGAGGACCCAAGTTTCGAAAATCCTGTTGAAAAATGTAGCAACGCGGAAGAGGAAATTAGTAGAATTTTACGGAAAAGTTATCAGGATGATCTCAACAACATGGCGAACATGAATGGTCGCATGGCACAGGTAAGAAAAATTGGAATGGGTGCATATCATTTTTCCATGTTGATCCAGGTGTAGTGCTCTTGTGACGCATGGAATACACACAGAAAAATCCACATTTTGTAGCAAGTCAACAAATAAGCGCTGCATCAACGCGGTTGTGTTCGCACTTGCAATTTTGGGTTGCCAACGTTGTTACTTTGCAAACAACTCTCCATGGAGCAACTTCGTCAATTTTTTATTACCACCGCTCGGGACAAGCAGTGCGAACATTTTTTGTATAAATCTTGTGAACAGACTTGTAAAAACTTGTTTGCAGACTTTTTACAAGATTTGAGATTTCTCTCTGTATATGTAACTCGTACGATCAACACGGCCGTATATAGCTATAGGTACCTGAGGCTAAAGGTTACCATATGTACTTTCCATAAGTATGGAATACTGCTAGTGTAAAAGGCCTGTTTCAGACGTCCAACTTTTCATTTGCTGAATCTAATGTTAGTGACCTAAAGTCTTTGTTTCAATTCGGCACATGAAAAGTTCGAAGTCTGAGTCAAGTGTCATAACTGAAATTATGTATGGGAAAACTTTTAATGCCAATGATATGGGTCTCATAATATTAATCACATGCTAAGTATGCCAGGTGTTATCCGTTATCGATTAAAAACTGCCATAATTTGTCGTTTTGTAGAATGCAATGGGGCCGTTCTCGAATCCTTATCTTATGGCAATGATCGCGCAACTCACCGGAGGACGTGGCATTAATGGCATGGTACGAATTCAGAGTACATATTTTTGGCTTAGTCAGTATATAAACGTGATCTTTGAACTCCTACTGCGCATGCTTTGCCAACTTTTTGAAGATATACATACAATACTCCTTTACTGCGTTATAGAATCAAGTTTCTATCATCATATGCGCATCTTGAAGCCACTATATAGGCCCTTCAATTCCTGCATGAATTTTTCCACACGCTGCTTTCTACTTTTCTCCACACGCTTTCTACTTTTCTCCCCAAAGCAAGGCAGTTACAGTAGCTATCAAAACATGAAATCTGCTGTGCTCTTTGTTGCTCTTTACATCTTAATGACACTATTACAGTATGTTTCGACACATTTCATTTACCATTTACCATAAATCGCTTTATTAAATTTCTCTAGCCTCCTCCTTATATGGGTAATGGTATGAACCCAGGTGGTTATATGTCGGCCAGTGGCATGCATTCACCATCTGCTCAAGGCGCTGCAAGCCAAAAGGTGAGCAACACGTGAAAAATCGCAATTTTTTTTAAGTACACAATACCTTAAAATGTGATAATTTTAGATACAAAATGACTACATTACTTCCTAAACGGTACATGCACACAAGTATATACTAGAAATATATGCACGCAATTTCCCCCCGCCTGAAGCAATTAGGCGATAAACATTGATTGTAAGGAAGCTACGTTTTCGTGAACACAGTAAGAAAATGTTGTGGTCGATTGATTTTGTTGCAGCAAAACAGACTCTTGTAAAACGTTTTTATGGTGTGTAGAGTATGGACACTTTGGTTTATTTCCTCACGTTCCAAGACAAACACCCTGTAATAAATCCCTGTATCGTTGCATTAGATTGAAAAGATTCACATCGCTGTTCCAAAGAATGCTGTGGGTGCCATTATTGGCCGTGAAGGTTCTGTCGTCAACGGTATAAGACACGCTTCAGGTGCCTCGGTTCAAGTGTTGAAAAGTGACGAAGATGCTGTTGAAACTCTGGTTGAACTACGTGGCTATCCACATCAGCTTACTATGGTTTGTACAGATGTTTCGTAATCTATTATACTGCACTTGGTAAATCCATGCATGCATCTCGAGGCGACTGATTGCACACAGATAGGCCCCGAGAATGTAGTACTGCATATCTGTCACTTCATTGCGCAGGCTGAAATGCACGTAGTATATATAGGGTGTATGTGACTGGAAGAAAAACCATCGGTATCTACAAAGTTTTTCTGTAACAACCTGCTGTCGTAGGTTGTTAGTACTAGCACACTGTTCAGTTCTGTATTCATAAACCAGGAACAATATGCGCGCCTTTCTCATGTAGAGATATGTGCATGTAGCAGCAACGTTTACGCGTTGTGATTGGGGGAGACAAAGCCACCCTCGTCATCCCCAAGTGTAATGTCATATATATCACGGCATGGTGATTTTGATCTTCGTGTTTCCGCGTGATTGCAGGCTGAAGGGGCCATTTTCCAAAAGATACAAGAACAAGGGTTCGCTGGTCATCCACATCAAACTGTTCAATTACGAACAGAAATAAAAATCCCACCTGAGGCTGTTGGTCGTATCATTGGAAGGCGGGGTGCTAAGGTAATTGCAACTATGAAAGTACCTCTGAGCAAATGCCAAGCGTACGTATCTACATTTCCATTCTAAATTAATATTGAATCGCATGCGCCCTACCAATTGTTATTATGATAAGCCGGATAAATTTGATTTCTGTACTTAATTTTTATTAAATGATTGCAGGTTAGGTCACTTCAAGGTAGACACAGGGCCTTAGTTGAAGTTCCACGTAGTGTAAACCCGGACGAAACCGAAGTTGTTGTGCGTGTTCTTTCAGACTATCTTGGCAGTCAGGTATGGTCGTATATGGATGTGTAATAAATAGAGTTAGGCATTGCTTGATTCTGAAGAGTTGGTGCAGGGTTACTTGATTCTGAAGAGTTGGAATACTGTTATTCTTGGATTGCATGTGACGTCAGTGGGGCGTCGATGTCTAGACCCATTTCTCCCTGAGGGATTTATTGGTTCACTGTGTTTGTTGATTAGCCATCATACGAAATTTCATATCATTCGCCCAATCCCTTGAGGCGTGAACATCAAAACCACGTAAGGCTAACCAACTTCATATCACTGATGAATTTCTTTCATCAAAGCCACCAATTATACAGTGTGATTTCTCGACGTTTAATACCATATTGTCTTTGCAATGTGGTGACGCATTATTCGTTGTTATTCTAGGGTGTGCAAACGGAAATTCGCGAGATCGTCGCTCAAGTGGAAGCGCAAAGGAAGTAGGGTCCTTTTAAAGAAATCTCCGATCTGCCTAATTTTATTTTTTTTGAAGCTTTTGATGTTTAATTTGGTTTTATTCCTATCACTATCATCTAATTAAGTATCAGGCCTATATCTTTGTAGTTTACCCATAAAGTTGTTGTAATTCCCATGATCAAATACTGTTATATACTCAATGCACGTTATATCTGAAAACCAATCGTTTACTCGATCTATATAATCTCTCAACACTCTCGATTGTATGTTTACTGCATCCTGAGCTGTTTTTGTAATATTGTACATGTAATATAATGTACAAATTTATTCCTTTGTGATTGTCTTTATTTTACTATTTAATTCTGGGAACTCTTTAAAAAACTAGCCATTGAAAATCCAGCAAAACGAAAACACACCAACCAATAAAGGAGCCCTTTCAATTGAGCCAGTCGTCTACTCTAATGGTCATCGTTGACTTGTACGACTGTATGCATAAGATGGTGATTCATGATAGACCGGTCGAATGTTTATGGTATGTGTAATTGAAATATTAATAATGCAAATAATGATTTTATTTTTCATCATATTATCAATGTGTAACAATGTTGCTGATACCGAACAGTTAGCATGTAAATCTCATTTCATCTGAATGATTTTACAAATCGACAAAAAACGCACTACTTTTTAGTTCCTGTTGCTTTGACGGAGAAATCTCCTTCCAGGCGTTCGTTTGTGAAACTGGCCCAATTCTGCCAATAATAAATTTCTCACATCGCTTAAGGCTCTCCTGTATGACCAGGAAGCTGTCCGAGTCAAGGTCAAACGGACTACAGTAATGTCTTTCACTTTCGTCCATCGAAACAAGTCTGTTAACAAGTTTTTGTAAGCCTTGGAAAACATAGCAGCAGTTTGATACCGCTTGTTTTCTCAGTACTTCATTCAGAAACTGCTCTAGGAGAGGACTTGAATTGTTGGCTCCTATAAAAAAAGCCGAAATGGTTGGCAACTCGCACACATATTGAAAGTTTTCTATAGCTTCTTTCAGACAAGCGTCGTGTATCTCCTCCACAAAAAGTTACAACTGGTTGAGTCCAGCTTGTGTTGAGGTTATTTAGTGAAGCGAGCAAAGTATTGCACTTCAGCCATGTCACCGCGACTGTTGAAGACGACAACTGTTTGAGTATTCCCTGTTGCACGTCACTTTGGAATTTCCCAGATAATTGAGGAAAATGTTTGCACTCTAGCGTCTTCTGAAAATTTTTACATATCCACTGAATGCATTGTATTTGGAAATTGTGTGTGTGGTAGAAAGGTTCACACAATTTCAAACAATCGTACACTTGAGGTATACAGTACGTGCAGGGCTTGTGAAATAAATGGCACTTGGTAACCTTCAGGTCAACCACAATTAAATCCACCAAATCTTGCAAACCATACATATCGGCAACCGGGAGTACTTTTGAAACGGGAAAACTTAGAATATCTTGACTCGCGCCGTAGATGAATTTCAGAGTGGCAAGAAATACGTCGGAGCTAACATCAGGTATTGTAATGCTTGATGAGGACTCTTCTCTCCATGATGATGAAAACATCGCGGAAAAATAGTCACAACGAGCAGCCAAAATTGCTTTGTGGGCCATAATACACTTTCCCTGTACAGAAAACTCGACATCTCCTGTACATGTTTCATTTAAGAGTGATAGCAAATCAGTGGACAATGAAACGTCCTTGTCAGTTGGATATATCCCACTCTTTCCCTTGTTCAAGGTCAATGCTTCTTCAATTGATGTACGATCTATGTTATCTTCAGAATATAGTGTCTCAACCCATTGTTCTAAATCAGCATATGTCACCTTCTCTGTGATGGTAACCTTGCGTGATTTAGGCGGCTGGCTTTGAATGAGATTGAAAAATTCAGGAAATCTGGCTTCCAAAATAAAGGAATGAACAGGAAACTCGTTGGAATGAGATACCAGTACTACATCGCTGTATTGAGGATCTTTGAAAATCTTCTTTATATCATTTCGCAGTTTCTCTTTTGTTTCCAATAGTATCGACTGTCGCACTTTCTCTTCTTTCTTCTGGAATGTTGGTGTTGGTTTAAAAGTGCGAAATCCTGCTTTTGACTTAGTTGATGTTCGATTAGCCATCTTTTACTGTATCTGAAAAGAATAACAAAACTTTTAACAAAGATAGGTTGAAATACTTCATTGTAGTCATAGCTGTAGACTTTTAATTTTGGTGTGCTATTTGCCATGATGTAGTGTATATGTATCAGTGAGACAAGAGTATCACTACAAGCGCCTCGTGGATTAGGAGTCTCTGGGCATTACTTTTTCCCTTTGGAACTGGTTGGTTGTTGGTTGAACTGGTTGGTAACTTGGTACTGTGATTAATCCAGTTGTACAGACTATAGGGACTGCCTTTTAAATGCAATTTCACCTTGGCAAGTTCAAAAGCTGTGCGGCTGTACTGGACTGGTAGAATCATAATTAGTGCCAGCATTGCTTAATTGAAGCAAACCAGCTTTTGCCAATCAAACATAGAGTTTTTATTTTAGAGGTAATAAACCCAATAATTGCAGTGAATTACACTGGCTTTGACCAAAAGCCCTTCCTTTCCTCATGAACTCATTGTATAACAACAATCTATTTTATTCTATTCTATTCAAGGAATCAATCAAAGCCTTCTATGAAAAATAAAAATATATTCCAGAATGTGAGCTAAGTGCTCTTCTCACCTTCTCTAACAAGCCAGTTATGTGGCCTTGAAAATGAATATCCTAAATGTTGTTATAGTCAGGGCACATATTATAGCTGCATGGGGATCTAAATAATCTATGTCAGTAAAAATCTACTCTACTCTCAGTACTGTGTACCTCTATTAAACACCAGGGCATACAGTGCCATATACAAATTATCACCTTTTTTATATAATATTTCCCCATTTACAATTGTTTATTTAAATCTTCAAACAAATGTATATACACATTTGTCAATTAAACCAATAAAATATATTCACTTACATAAACGAAAAGCCTGTTTTTATAAAAGACCAGTAAGTATATAGGCTGTATATTTATTATAAATGTAGCACTAGGCACTATAGCTTATAAAGTAAGGTTATTTTATTATTTTAGCAGCTCTTCTTCATATATGTATGTCAAATTTAAGTCCTGCCTACTGTACAGATCACCTTCAATGCCAAAAATAAGCCATATATAAATACAAAACTTTACCTGAAGATTAGAAAATAACTCCTGTTCGACAACAACCAAGGTATGTATATACATAGTTATGGTATATATTAACTTCCAAAAGTTCGGCTTATTCTGGTCAGTAGTCTACGCATAGACGGAATATGGCGGAAATACCTCTTTTTCCCCGCCTTTCTATTTCGGGCATGGGTCTGCGGCGCAGGCTATCTGGTCAGTGGCTCTGGTCTAAAAGAAAAAGGAAAATGAATGGAATACAAGGAAAGTGGAAACATGTGTTCATTAAAATCAGTGATTAAAATGGCTCATTGCCACTGAGCTATACAACAGGGAGTCCTCCTCGAATTTCTGTAACTTCGTCGCCATCTTTTTTGCTTCAGTTGATGATGGCGAGCACTCCCTTCAGTCCAGGAATTATAGTACAGCTCAGTGCTCAATGCATTCAATCATTTCAATGGTTCAATCATAGTCTCACAGATCAACCAAGTTTGGAACACTCAACATTTCAACATGGAAGGTTTTAAAAGAAAAGACTGAAAAGTGTGAAAAGACAAGTATCCATAAAAGTGATAAAACATGGTTGCCTTTAGTCTTTGTTATCACAAGGTATCAGACTACCAGTCTCTTAAAGCTTGATTAGCACAGTAGCAACTAATCCTAGTGTAAATTTTAATCAGCTGTTTTTGTTGCAATTTAACCCAATTTTCGTCATGGTTATTGTTTGTTTGTTTCTGGCAGCTTTCAAAATTGAACGGCCCTAATTTTTAACTAGATAATATAAGGTGTTGTGTGACTTAAGTCTGTTGACACACTTTTGAAAGTTTGGTTTTTCAGTTTGCCTTATTCATCCGTTTCCTGTAACGTTGGAAATAACTGTTTCCAGAAAAGCAAAGTGGAAACACTATTATTTTGACAGCCTCTAAGCAACCGGCGTTCGTGAAATCGATTCTATTATTGTGTGTTTGACTTGTTGGATTCAATCGAACTTTATCTGTGCTTTATGCACTAAGCTAAGCTTCTTACGTTTCAGCTAACATATATTGTAGTCGTAAAAAACGAAGAGGCATCGAGGTCGTCATATTGGGTATGCCTTATACTCATATTCGGTGCCATAAGTAAACGATAATAATTATTTAATTACAAGGAACGTAAACATCTTCCAAAATTAGCGTTCGGAAGACAAGCGAGACTACGATGGCTACAGATATTGTAGCAACTTGGGACGTTGCTTTATCTGATGGCATACATACCGTTCTCTTTGAACATGGTACGACCACTGGCAAACGAGTCATAGTTTTAGATGGGGTCGAGATCCTGCGACGAAACTGGATGTTTCGTTTAGTGGGAAAGGAAGAATTTCCCATTGGCAGGAAAACAAAGGCAACTATACGAATTGAAGCTGTGAGCGGTTTTTCGTATGAGTATACGCTTGATGTTAATGGTAAGCCGCTAAAAAAGTTCACAGAAAACCGAAGGAAGACAGCAAAGGTTTGGAGGTTTATTCACGGTGGTGTAGAAACAAGAGTTGTTTTTGGTAAGTGGAAACTTAATTGGAATTTTAAATTTTTACATATAAAATATATATTTAATGCAATATTGATGAACTGCTGTAGAAATGTCTGATAATCGGTCCATTGGTCGATCGGACATTGCAACACACTCTAGAGGCATGGAAATGATAGAATAAATATAATACAACAATGAATGTTGTTTTTAGTTCTGAGTTATCCAGTCAATTTTATTGTATATATGTTGTGTCTAATTTGAGACAGTGTGTACAATGTACATAACATCAATGTAATTTGCTAGTGGAATAATATGGTACCCATGAACTCCTCTTAATTCCTATTGTACTCATTGTGCACACATCCACTGGCCTCTGAATTAATTAGTTAGCAAAAATTTACCTGCCTGGATCAATAAGTGGTTGGCAATATCTGTCACAAATAAAAGTCTGAATAGAAGGTACCTGGTATTGGTAAAACACAAGATTGTTTGTAGTCCCTTTTTTGAAACTATAAAAGAAGATTGAATTGTAGCAATCAAGCTTTCTCTGTACTCTAGAATTACAATAATGCACACAATAAAAAGATTACAGTAATACAAATTGTGTGGACAATGTGACAATTAGTCAACAACCAGGTCAGCAAGAGTGGTGTTATCCTTTCTGGCCTTAGTGAACATTATTACCTAAATCAATAAGTCAACAAAAACCCAAGTGATTTTTACTTAACTCCAGTTGCAGAATACTGCATGCTTGAGGACTCTCTAACTTATTCTTTTTAGAAAAGGATAGCATGGACGTGTGGTGTAATGGAGAAGTACTTGAGACTGCAGTGAGTTTACAATATATATCTTGTTTATTTTACAACACATTAATAAGTGGGTGAAGAGGTGTTTTTGCATGAGGAAGTGATCAGAGGTTGAATAATCAATGTGTAGCTGAGTATATAATATCTAAAAGACCTAATACTATAACTAATAACTAGAATAAAATGGTTTTCAACAAGAAGGCATAGCTTATGTACAAGCATGTTCAAATTGGGTCATCTTAGTTGCATTCTGCTGATGATTGTGAGCTGAATCATCTGAAGAACATCTTGCTTGACTTTATTCACAATGCCCATTTTACATCTTAATGCAAATGAGCTGCCACAGCATTGTTTATTAAAGGCAATACATTTTCACAAATTTGCATTAACTAATATCAATTTGCACAATATTACACCTGCAGTTTACAACACAGTGCAGCAAATGTAAAAAAATACATTCAATCTCAATTGTATTTCACATTGCACAATATGCCTATTTTGAACAAGAAAAACAAAAATTGGCAAGAAGTATTTTAAATACATAAACAATACTACTCTCTAAAGGATGCCTGCCCAATGAAGGCTGTCTTTAACTTCAAGTATACTGCAGAACTGCAACTATAGCTGGCATAAACACAAAAAAGGGCATAAGTTCTGCAAATGCCTTGGCAAGCTTTTAATACATGCACTACCACCTGTACATATTAGTTTATGTTATAGTTATACAGATGAACTTTCTGTATGGTAACATATCGCTACATGTTATTGGTTTATTTGGTGTTCTTTACGTCATGTGTCTAGAACCTGACTGAGCATGCATATGCAAAGAAGTATACTGTAGCTATATATATAATACATGTATGTAGAAGTGCAGTAATTCCACCATTTTTCTGCTCTGATTATGCGTGATCAATTCGTTTTCAGATCAGTGTTCGTTCTTTTACCATGTACCCAAGCCATAGAATAGGCCTTAAAATTACCATTAAAATTTAAACAGCAGCTTAATTGTTTTGCAAAACTGCTGTTAGCTTAAAAAACATAAGTAGTGTAGGTTTCTTATAAATCTAGTATCACGAAATTTGACGCATAATGACGAATTGTGGCATTCGAAGGAAAAGGGGGAATACAGTTGATGAATAGATTTGTGAAATATTTCTAGGGAGAATTTGTTGATGGTGGCACTGAAACGCATTTTAAACTCCATAATAAATACAATGCTTATATCAAAGCAATCAGTTCTGGAAAGCGAAGGAATGGGATCATTCACACACTGTTTGTTGAAGACCAAGAAATTCCAGAGACAGATATGGATGTCTAAACGAAAAACCATGGACGTAACGATATATAGGTGCTTATAGTTGACGAGTGCCGGGTGGGATAAATATTCGTATATATTGCCATGTGCTCATGTACCCTGGTCTTAAAAAAATGGTTGCTCGTACATTTATGAATATACATCCTCCCCAAATTATTGTGACAAGTTACGTCCATGTAAACGACCTCGTGCTCCATTTAGATTGTAACAGTAGGGAAAGTGGCTTGTAATGAAGACCATAACTAATTCTGTTCACTTAATGTAAATGTGCAATCTGATTGGCTGGCTAATATAGCTGACGATGAGAGCTAGATGGTGAATAGAAAATTACACTAGACTTTGACAAACTGGAAAACACCAATTTTTACCATTAATTTTAATAGCCACAACGACAATAAAAAGACAGAAAAACTTAATTCTTTACCTTTCGTGTTAGATCTAGAAATCCCTTCTCCTTGAATATAAAGAAGTATTTGCATCGTATAATACTTAAAAAATTAAAAAACAATCAGCTGTGTTTTAATTCTAGCCCAGGTTTAAACTAGGTTAATCTCTGTTAGAGAGTTTGGGAAATACGACAATGTCAACTGCAACGTTGCGCATCAACCATGGGATCGGTCATTAAAAGACAAAATAAAATGTAAATTACGTGGTCTCAAACATTGCACATTGCCGTAGTTGCTGATACTGTTTCGTAATTTCCACCAATTTCGCGGGGCATGACCGTGTACGCGGCATCAGCTAATGTGATCGATGTTGTTCAGAGTGTTGACATGCTATTACTATTAACAAACTTCGGACAGGCTCACGAAGGACCTGCCACACTCTGTAGCAGTTGTCCGTTGGCTGTTAAAAAACACAAATGCCAAATGGACCTGGAAGACATTCGAACCGGTCAGTATCAATCGCATATGCTTTGTGCTATAATTTTATATACATTAAAAATTCTCCAGCTTGCCTAATATTTTCAACAAAGTAGTTGAGGTTACCTACTGTATTAGATAAAATATACGTTGTATTAGAATAGAAATAGAAAGTTTATTAATCCTTCTTCAGATAACGTAGAATGGACTTACATTTAATAATATTTGCATATGCTACACAAATTAAGTTAGTAACTGTAATGCATCACTTTATATAACAACTAATGAGCACGCCCTGGCTATATAAACGAACTTTTATCTCTAAAGCCCGTTTTTCACTAGGCGAATTTATTCGCGCGAACAGAGAAAAAGTAGGAAGCGATTCTACTTTTCGCGGCGAATTTTTTCGCAAACCAATCACATCAACGGATTTCAGATGTCGCGTCGCGAAGCTAGAAAACTAGATTTACCGCTATAGATTTGTGGGGAATGTTCCAGAGACAATAAATAATTCACACCTGATCACTTCGCTTTGTTAAAATATCTAAATTAATATAATGCTACAGCTCGCTCGCTCGGTGTTCAGAAGTACATGTTTTGTTCATGCCATAAATTAACGTAA